GGCGCCGGCTGCCTTCGTGGCCGCCCTGGGGCCCGAGGCCGGCGGCACCGCGGCCGCGGTGCTGCCCGAGCGGCTGCAGCGGCGGGAGGCGGAGCGGCAGCGCGGCGTGGCGCGGCAGCGGGAGCTGAAGGAGGCGCAGGCGGTGCCGGAGGAGGGCAGCGAGTTCTTCGCCGCCGCCTTCGGCCGGGAGCGAGAGGCGGTGGAGGCGCTGCTGGCGGCGGGGCGGCCCGAGGAGGCGGCGGCGCGGCTGCAGGGGCTGCAGAAGCTGTTGACCGAGAGCGTGCGCTTCCTGGCTCCCTACGAGGTACGGCAGAGCCAGGAAGCCGTGTCCCGGCTGCAGGCCGACCTGGCGGCCCGGCGGCAACAGCTGCAGCCCAAGAAGAAGTTCGCCTTCCGCAGCCTGAAAAAAGAGGCGGCCTCGGGCGCCGAGCCGCGCCCCGCCGAGCCCGAGGAGTCGGCCGAGCCGCCGGCCCCGGGCAGCGCCGAGGGGGAGCCGGGCGGGCCTCCGCTGTGCGGCTTCAGCCGCGCCGAGGATCGGGAGCTGGAGCTGGGCCCGGAGGAGCTGCTGCAGCGCGACGTGGTGCTGGAGGAGCTGCGCGGCTGCCGGGTGCGGCTTCGCGGCAACCCCAACACGCTGCGGATGCGCGAGTGTCGCGGCTGCACCGTGCTGTGCGGGCCCGTCTCCACCTCCGTGCTGGTGGATGGCTGCAGCGAATGCCAGCTGGTGGTGGCCTGCCAGCAGCTCCGCACGCATCGCACCCGCGGCAGCCGCTTCTACGTGCAGGTGACCAGCAGGGCCGTCATCGAGGACTGCAGCGAGGTGTCCTTCGCTCCCTACGCGTGGAGCTACCCGGGCATCGAGGCGGACTTCGAGTCGTCCGGGCTGGATAGAAACAGAAACAACTGGAACCTGGTGGATGACTTTGACTGGCTGGCGAGCGACAGGCCCTCACCCAACTGGAGCCTCATCCCCGAGCAAGAGCGCGTCAGCTGCTGGGACTGACCGCGAGCGATGGAGCCTGCCGGCAACGCGCTGATCCGCGGGCGGGGGGGCTTCATCCCTACGGGCCGTAAAATGATTGCTGGTGGTGCTTCAGTGGGGAGTTACAGCCTGTGGCTGGTTGCTCTCCTTGAAAAATTTCACTCGGATGTAGTTTACTGTCACTAAACTTGCTGCTGTAATCTGTATGTATCGCTGTGGGGTCGGCCAACTGCTGCATTAACTCATTGCTGAATTTCTTTAATTAAAATGGGGCTGGGGGCACCGGTATTCACGTGGCAGCAGTCCTTGATTGGAGCTGCTGTGCTGCTGTCACTTAGCCAGGCAGAATCCGAGCTCCCTGCTAGTGCAAGCTGTAGTCAACTGAAAAGAGGGAATGCCAAATCTGTCCCATTTCTGTGGTGAAGCAATTGCAGACTGCTGTTACGGATATGGGGGAGGGAGATATTCAGTGAAGCAGCAAACAGAGGTTTAAAGAGAGGGAGTTTGTACATGGGTACTGTATGTCAGGTGAATCCTGGGCCGCAGTGCGTCTGGGACCCAGGTTCTGCTGTGTGGGTGACAACTGTTAGTCAGACTTCTATTTCAAGGAAAAAAAGGTTAATGAAAATGTAATGTTCTTCTACTGTATTAATGATTGAAATCTATCTCTAGAAGGTAGATAAATACTGAACAACAGCAGTCTCAAAATATGCTAGAGGAAGCTGCTTCTGTAAACAGCAGGAACCTGAATAAGATTAGATTTGTATGGCCTGAGAGGTACACCCATTGTTTGCTGACAGACATGGCAAGTTTCAGGGCAGCAGTGTTCAGACATGTCCCAGTGGTTGGTTTTTCTGCTGGCAGCCAGTGAGCTTTGCTGTGATCATAGCTCACAGCACTGCCATTGCCTATCGTGTGCAGTGCTGACAGAGGGACTTCATAAAAAGTGATAACAAAGCACAGTATTTGGGCTCCAGAATAACAACCTGCATAAAGGCCCTTGGTGCACAGTTACCTCTCAAGTCCCATTTATTCACTCTTGTTCAATACCAGAAAAAAAACTGCATTATGATGGAGGTTTCTTTTTATAACGACCTCTTAACAGTACGAAGGAAATATTACCTTGCCTAAACAGCAGCTCAAAAGTTGTATTTAAGAACTCTGCCTAATATTTATGCTGCCCTATCACTGTATGTGCCTCTAATACTGATTAATCCATCAAAGTCATGTCAGTGCTATGAGGAGTATTTTGAGTTCTTAACTGTTTTTGGAGCAACAGAGAAACTTAGCCTGTTTTTTCAGTACATTTAATTTAAAAGGGAATTAAAAAAGGGTGTTTTTTGTTTTTTATTTTCACAACTTCACCGTTGTTTACTTCTGTTCATGTACACTTTTTTTTGAATGAACTGGATTTTGCATTTCAGTTACTTGTTTTGAGTTGTTTCTTCAACGTGCATTGACAGCATCATAAAATCATTCAGAGGGAACACCTATACTGTTGCTTTAACATATGCTGGTTTTAATAGCTGCTAAAGGGAGATGATTAGATGCAACTCCGATATATCTTAATTTCAACACATGGATGTACAGAGCCTGATTAGATAATATTGCTTCCCCACATATGCTGGTAATGACAGACCCATTCTTGGGTCATGATAGCAAGATGTTTGGCCTGTTATAAAAATAAAGCAAAAGCCCACACAAACACCTTTGTTCTGCTAGCCAAAGGCTATAAGCATTTCTGTTTCCTCTCTATGGTGCTGGACAGTGACACATAGAACTGTGGGCAGCACCACATGGTTGCTTCCCAGCAGGCTGTGAGACTGCCAGCTCACTGCATACCTGTGCTGGCTGCTGGGAATCACCTCACAGCTTTGTGTGAATAAGTGGTGTAAGTTAGAAACACTACATGCTGACGTCAGTTTCTGTTGAGAAGTGCTTCCCAGTGACCCTTTCCAAAGGTCAGCGATTGAGATCTCAGTTCACATGTATTTCTTTGCAAAGTGCTTCTGTCAAATCAGAATTACTCTATGTCCTTCAGCAATGTAACTTTACAGCAAATTGCTTCTGGCCGTTACTTTCCCTTACATGTTTATCATTACTTCAGTAATACAAATTTGCTAACTGGATCTTGGTCTCTGGCATGACATGAGATGAGCAAATCCAATTTCAGGCATGAGGATATTCGGTCAGCCAAGTTTTTAATATATGTTCATGGTTCTGTGTACCATAAAATATGCACCCAGGTAGATAAACATCTCTGTGCCCTTTTTAGAAGATAGAATTCTTAACAGAATAATTTTCAGAGGAATATAACAAACTTTGAAAAGCAGAGTGTGTTAACAGTAACACTTTACGTGAACACAAGTGCTAGAAAAGTTTTGTTGGCATATTCACAGGCTGTGTGAGTGCTGACATAACAACTTTTGGAAATCTTTTAGTGGAAGAAACAAATAACTGGGCATCACTACATAGGGAGTGACTTAAAATTACTTCAGGAAGAGGACATCACAGGCACCAGCAGGACACCACTGCTGTCCCAGAAGGCGGCCTTACTCCTGGCAGCAGCAGTGCAGAACCCCTGTTCACTGACCAGCGTGGTGGCCAGCATTCCAAAGACATCTGTAGGTAGAAGAGGACAATTAAACACAGGGCAAGTGAGAGAACAGCCACTGCTAAGGTCCCAAAAGTGCAGTTCATCACTTGATAAGAAATCCATCTTCCAGTAAAATCTAGTGGGATGTGGTAACTCAGATGTACGGATATGTAAAAAGTATTTAAAAGCATGAAAGTAGTACACAGGAAAATATTCATAGAATAGTTACATGTGTAGTAATCCTCTTTAAAATATTTAGTCTGTCAGTAAACCAATTTCTTCTTTCTATGTTGGAAACAATTTCTTTTAGCAATGATGGACTTTAGCGTAACATTTTGAAAATAGTATCTGGGGGATACTTTGGCAAGGTCTAGAGAGTGGGGTTATCTAGACTTTCACTGGAACTACTTACTGAGCAAATACTAAACACTGAATGAGTAAGAGCTGAATCTACAGTGCTTGTAGCTTGGTTGTGTTCACCTTTTGCCTCAACTGCCAAAAGCCATCACAAAAATCACTTCCTGTAATTTTCAGGTTAGTCTGGCTGGTTTACTCCAGAGGACTGATGATACCTTCAGTATATTAGTGATGAAATGCACTCAGTGAAAGTGCCTGGTTTTACCAAGTCAGGAATTCTATGCCATCTTGTCTCTGTGGTGGAGCAGCTCATGCATGGTCATATTCGAGCAGTGTGAGGAGACATACCTGGAGCTGTCTGGGCAACGGTGAGATGGCAAGGGACTCAGCTGCCGCGTTTTCCTCTTGAGGCCTGCCCCTGCAGTACCCGGAGGCAGGGCCAGGCACTGCTGGGGCAACAGATGGCAGGAGCTGTGCCAGTCTGTCGTTGTGCTCCTGGGTCAAGGAGACTCTCAGTGCCGGCCAGCCAGAGCTGCTTTGTGTCCCTGCTAATCGCAGCTTGCAGGGAAGGAGAGTGGCACGCTGCTCCTTGCTTCAGTATAGTAAGCAATGCTGACACAAAGAAAATTGCCTGACAGCCTCTCCTAGGCCAGGAGCCAGCACTGCTTAATGTCTTACCTATTGGAGCTTGCAAGAATCTCCCCAAGGCCTGTGGGGAAAAAGCAGTTGTGTTGAGGAGATACTGCTCAGCCTTGGGTTGTGCAGAGCTGTTTTTGTGGCTGACCAGATAACAATGAATTCAGGCTCACAATCTTGCTATGGGGAGTGTAAAAGCAGCACATCTGCTTTGAAAGCAAACTGATTTCATGCTACTTTGCCCAGAAGGAAGGCACAGGGCCTAAGACGTAATACAAGGAAGAAGATGGAACGCAGAGGAGGTTGTCCCACCAGGTAAGCAGGAATACCAAGAGCTGATTGCTGCCTGCAGTCAGGGCAAACAGAAGCTGCGTTTGTACGTTTTTATCTTAGCACCTGCACTGTTCATAATGTGAGACCAGAGCAACATTTTCTCCAGATCTGTAGCTTTAGTTTGTGTTTTATTGTCACCAGAATAAACAAGGCACTTCTTTAGAACCACACGCACACAAGATTACTTTTGCTAGGCTTTATAGGCTGAAAAACAAATGCCTGCTGGGGCCGTGGTTATGAATACATCAAGATAATAAACAGCACAGTAAAGCTAGATGTAAATTGCCCCTGAACAGAGGGCTCACTGGCAGAAAAGCAGAAAGTTTCTGAGCAGTACAAAGCACTGAAGCATAGAACAATTTTCCACAGAGAGTTGCAAGAGCAAACAATCTTGCAAAGAAGTTTGGTTGGCTTGTCCTTCAGACATCTGCAAAGCAAGAGTTACTGTGTTAGTTCACCACAGCAACCGTGCTCAGCTTTTTAAATCTCATGTGTTCGTGAACTAAATAAAATAGCTTAAAAGACAGTTCTTCAGCACTGCACAGACCTATGAGTGTTCATATTCCTTGGCATTTTGGGATATAGCACAGACAAATGGTGAGAAAGCTTGACCCTAGGGAAGCAACCGAAAGCTTTGCTGCTGTTTCCAGCGAGGCCAGCAGTGCATCTGGACATCCCATCCTGATCATGCAGCCAGTGCATTTCTGTCTTTCCCTTGGGTATCATCACCTTGGTGCTCAGCTCTCCCCTCTTACTTCCTCCTCCCCATCTGACCCTCCCCACTTGCAATTGTGGCATTTTTTCTTTTCTGGGTAGGGCTGTCTGATCCATACAAGAAAGCTTATGGTCTGTGCTGTACTGAAAAGCCAGTTCCATCACCTGCAAGGAAAAAAATCTGTACCGCTTGTGGAATTTCAACATTTGTATTCACAACCTGATCCAATTTGTCTGATTGATTTCAGGTTCCATATGTTTTGCTGAGATGTTTTCCAGCAGTGACTACTGTGAGTCTTTTGTAAGCTTCTTCCAATTTCCCACATATTTCCCTCCTGTTTCTGCAAGTACAAATATTGATTCATGACTCATTCTTTAGCAGTCAACCCTATGCTTTAAGCATTACAGTAATACAAGTAAACACTCATAACGAGCACCTCATGGTTCAACAACAGACCGTGCTTCCCAACACACTACCCACGCTGTGGATAAAGGATGGGTGAAGGGCCAGGAACTGTCCCTAGTAAATCTGTACTGAAGATCCATAGTACACCTGGTACATCACATTGCCCTTCAGGGCATACAGCAGCCACAGCACTGGATTCAGCCACACACCTCTGTTCCCAGCCTCAAGACCCAAGGGCACTTTATGTGGCATGCATACAGCAGGCTACTCAGTTGCTTGTATGCACAGGAGGAAAAGTCACAGACCAGGCTTTTTCTGCCAGTTATTTACATAACGTGGTACAGCCATTGCAGTTGTCCTTCAACACTGCAACAATCAGAAAGATCAGCAGAGTGGAATGTCAAAGCAAAAGATACAATAACAAAGGGACTAGCACAGATAGAAAGGCATTACAAAGGCAAAGCACTCACCTGTCTCCAAAGATCTGATTTCACAGGAAAAGTTTGACAGGGAAAGATGCTCAGAAAGAGATGTCAGTCAGCCCTTACATGGGGGTCTAAGAGAGCTGCAGCCGGGCTCCACCCCTTGCAGTCACACAGAATTGAATTGCCTTCATCTGTGCTCCCAGGACTGACCTGGTCCTTTCCCCAGGTGATCAATCATTGGTTCGGGCCGTGACTCAACAGTTGCCATACACACACATTGCACAGTTACAAATTCAAGCAAAACCACCAACTACAGCACATAAATACATTTCTTATCTCCACAGTGACCTCCTATGATATTTGAAACAGATGCCCTCGCTCCTGTGGTCACACCATCATGGAAAAAGAAGAAAGACAACAATCAAGAGACAAGAAAGCCACTCATTGTGCATCGCAGAGCAGAAAGAAACAGATTAAGCCAGGAGGTTTTTGTTTTGTTTTGTTTTTTAAACCAACTAAAAGCACTTCCATAATTTGGACACAGATTGCACCTGTATAAAGGGAATTTGTTTTTTAACAGCCTTATTCATGAAGACTTTGTCAGGAGCATGGTAGGAACAAGCCTGGGCAGCATCTATATAGCAGATACTGGATTTAATGATCTGTCTTACGTTTTCCTCTCTCCCAACATTGACTGGTAATTTTCTGAGTCATGCTTATGTTAACAGGCACAGCTTTTTGCAAAAGTACCAATATTGTATTGTTACCCATAGAAATCAAAATTTTGTAACAGTATTTTGAATTTGAGCACTTTTGTGGAGATTTCTAGCAGATCAATAATCATTTGAACATTTTATTCTAACATTTTTTCCCTCTAGAATAGCAAGTCTGATATGCAGCCTATGAGGAGACCACTAGCTTGCAAATCCTTGTGCAATTAGCTTTAGTCTACTTTGGATCATTTTCAAGATTTTTCCAGGTGAACTACCTGGCAGGAAATTCACCCAATTAACGGTCAGTGTGAACCAAGATAAAGGTTTTTAATAAGAGCAGAGAGCAGGTAAAAATAGCTTTCTTTGCTGTAATGCCCACCCCACAAAACACTTCTTAATGATCCCCCTCCCATCACTTTCCCCTTTCCTATGTTACTGTGCTGCATCCAGCCCTCATCAGTTTGCTGAAGCTCACATGTTGTTTGTTACCTCTATCTGGAATGAACTGGAAACGTTATTTCCCTACTTCTTATTTGTTAGCTTCATTTTTTGAAGGGACCATAGCACAAAATTTACTGGTACCAATCCCCTTTAAAGCTTGCAAGCATGATTTGATAAATAGGAGGTTTTGACTACCCTGAGCTTCTAGCTGGTATTGAACTCTTGACACTACCTAAATAAACAGCAGATTTCCAAATCGTTGTTCTGATAACTCCCTGAGATAACTGTAAAGGAGTCACCTGAAGTCACAGAGGTCCTGAGCATCAGGTTAATCTGGGAACATCTCCCAGAAAGCATAAACCATTTGGGAGCAGCTTACTACAATTCCTTCTGTTGCCTTCATGTAAGGAGAGGGCTAAGACAGTAAATCTGGAGATACCAATGAACCTTGAAGCGTATTGTTTGGGAACTGTTGAGTCACAGCCTGAACAACTGAAGGCAATTCAGCTATGTGACTGGAAAGCATGGAGCCTGGCTGCATCTCTCTTAGACCTCATTTAAAGGCTGACTGCCACTGGGGAAGGATCTCTGCTTGGAGATCCCTCCCTTGTGGAGTTTTTCCCCTCGAGCCTTGATCTTTGGAAATTAGTGATCATTCTTTCCCTGTTTGTCCCTTTGCCATTTCACTCCTGTATCACTTTTCCACTGCACTAATCTTTCCAACTGTAGCACATATGCTACATGTTCTATTTTACCACTCCTGAATTAATAGCAAACAGCACAGTGTATAAAATTGAATTACCTCAGATTTATTGAGGGCACCTGAGTGTTAAATTATTAAGGTAGCAGGTGTTCAGCTTTATCTATGCTCCTGAATGTTGAGAACTTCTCGGAAGCTGCAGTGACACCAGGCTTACAGCTGCTATGGGCAAGTTTGCTATTTCTCATCTTATCAATTGCACTGCAGAATGTATTTCACCATATACCCTGTGATTCATAGACCTGATAAAAAATTATTTTTCACTTACCACAGTTTTACTTTGTCAGCACTGACAGGAAAGGAAAGAAAAATTAGTTTTATGTATGTAGGATTGACTTCAGGCTGTCAGATAAATGCAGCCTCCAAAGTACCTTGTCCTGAGCCCTGATGAAGTTAGTGAAATGTAGCAGCGTGCACTGCATTGGTATGGGACAGAATTACTATGGCTGGAAAAGATTTCTAAGATCATTTAGTCTGACCATCCACCTACCACCATTATTGCCCCTTAAACCCTAAGTATGGCCCTAAGTACCTCATCTCCACTTTTCTTGAATGCCTCCAGGGACAGTGACTCCATCCACCTACTGGGCAGCCTGAGCCAGTGTCTGATCACTCTTTTGGAGAAGAAACTTTTCCTAGTATTCAACCTGAACATCCCGTGGAACAACTTAAAGCCATTCCCTCTTGTCCTATTGCTAGCCACTCAGGAGAAGAGGCCAATGCCAAGAAGCCAGGAGAGATGTTATTTCAGAGCTACAGCTTACTGCACAGAAGTGCTTAACAGGCTCTCCCAAGAAACAGCCCTCTACTCCCACCATACAGCAAGTAGAGAACAGCCCCGATGGGCATTTTCCTTCCTCCACCCCCCTGGCACGCTCACCCCTTGCCTGCAAGGGCAGTGGCAATGCAAACAGCCTGCTCTAAGAAAACCCCTGTTACCATCTGCGCTCCCATCTAGATGGGGAGGAACATCAGAAAAATCTGCAGCTTTATGTTCTTCATCACCACTCACGCAACCTCCCAGGGTCTAAGGCAGCAACCGAGTAATGCACATTGTCCCATGTAGCAGCAGGCTACAACAAATACTGGTTTTGGAGCACTGCACTCTTCTGCTCCCCTTCCTCCCAAGCAGACCCTGTGCTGGCAGTAGGTGCCCTCACCGAGCCCTGGAGCTGCCCCAGCACCCCATACCCTCACCCACCTGTCCTGCTTGCAGCCTAACAGGGCCAGGTTTTTCCTTGCTTGAGTCCATTTTTCCCTGCTGCAAAGCTTCTCCAAGCAGGGCATAGGGTTATTTATTGTGTTTCTCTTAACTTTTCCTTTCGCCTTCCCTCTCATTAAAGCCTGGAGATTGTACAGAGCCTGAAAGTAAATAGAAAATGCCAGGTGTGAGTTTTTTAGGTCACTATGAACGACATGCTTAGCTGCTTTCAGAACGAATAAGCCATGGGATGTCATCTGGGGTAAACAGGGGAGGCTGAGGACTGGAAAGGTGTTGGTATGAATAAATTGGGGTCGCACAGAGGAACGGCACTTATGCATTCAAGCAGCTGCTTTTATCTCCACGCTCTCTTCCCTTTTCCTCAAAGCATCCGTATTCTGCCAGTAACAAAGATCTTTTTATGTCGCTGAGTTTTCACATTCTGCCAAGCAGCCTATCATAAGAAAGCCCAAATCTACTAAACAGTAAAATGAGGGATTATTTCCACTCATCTGTTGACAGACATTTCTCCAAATTGGATCAAATGATTAAAGGTATTAGGATGACGTCTTGCAGATCCAGATCAAATCATCTGAAACCTTGAGACTGTCTCTCCTTTGCTTGGAAGGAACCACCAGAAATAGTTGTAGGTGCTAATTGCCCATTATTCTTACTCATGTGAATCTGTGAATTTGGACCTTTGAATATCTACTTGCTTGAACCCGCGCGTGGGGAGCTCAAGATGGAAGGACCGTGCAGCACTTCACTTTGGGCTGCGTCGGCCGGAGCTTTTCTAAACGCCTGAATGGTTCTTTCTCGAGTCACTTACACGGAGAAGAAGGGTTCAGGCTGCAAAAGCTTTCAGCGTCTCACATATTGCGACGATGGCACTGCTGAAAGTCAAATTCAACCAGAAGAAACGGGTAAAACTAGCCCAGGGACTATGGCTCATGAACTGGTTTTCAGTGTTTGCTGGAATCATTGTTTTTAGCATGGGGTTGTTCCTCAAAATTGAGCTCCGGAAGCGAAGCGAAGTGATGGACAATTCTGAAAGCCATTTTGTGCCCAATTCTTTGATATTGATGGGTATATTATCCTGCGCCTTCAATGGTTTTGCTGGCAAAATTTGTTATGATTCTCTGGATCCTGCTAAATTTGTCAAGTGGAAGCCTTTGCTGAAACCTTACCTGGCACTATGTTTCTTCTTCAACATACTGCTCTTCTTGGTCGCTCTGATCTGCTTTCTCATGCGGGGCTCCCTGGAGAGCACGCTGGCTCAGGGGCTGAAGAACAGCATGAAGTTCTACCGGGACACAGACACCCCTGGAAGATGCTTCATGAAGAAGACAATTGACATGCTCCAAATCGAGTTCAAGTGCTGTGGGAACAATGGCTTCAAAGACTGGTTTGAAATTCAGTGGATCAGCAACAGATACCTGGACTTCAGCTCCAAAGAAGTGAAAGAGTAAGTGATTTAGCGGGATTTGTATTGCATAGTATCATTATTTGGTCAATGCTATGCTGGAGAAGCATGCACCAAAACAGATGCTGACTGGATATTTTTTGTATAAAATGCTTTTTTTAATCTGTACTTGCTTTAATAAGGATGTCAAATATTCTACTAGGTTAGTTTCTCATCTGCCAAATTCCTCGAACATTATACAGAATGTAAAACATAAAGCAGAGAAATACAGTTCCTGCTCTTACATGCTGCAATGTAAACAAACTTCCAAAATATTCTTCTGTATCTTTTACATCTTTATAACTCCTTACGTGGAGCCTATTCCCGAAATCTAGTGTACAACTAACAGCAAAGTAGCAGAACCTCACTGTATGAAAAGGAGATTTCTGTGAGACCTACGTTCCTGTTCAGAGGCTTCCAGATAGACACGGTCAGTGCCATTTTTAGAATTCCACCTTAGATATTGGTAGTTAATCTTTAAGAAATAAGCAGAAACACTTTAGTAATAACCCATATGTTTTATATCCTTTAGATTTAGAATTTCATTTTAAAATTCACTCACTTCACTGAAGCTGATTGCTTCAGCTCCGAGACAATTCATAGCTAACATCAGTTAACATTCCCTGCTTTACATATTATCTCTTATAGGAGTTGGACTCAATGATCCTTATCCCTTCCAACTCGAGATACTCTATCATTCTATAGTCAGATGCATTTTATGTTCTCTCTCGCATACAAACACATTCAAAATGTATACTAGTGCTTAATTTTTTAAACCTGATAAGAAAATATCGCTATCTTCCTCTTTGCAAAGCAGAGCATGTTGTTGAGCAGAAACACCGTAGTGGCACTAATGTCAGTGTAAAAAGAGGTATTCATCTCAAAATAAGTTTAGGTATATCAGCACACGTAAAAAATAAAGCTAACAAGCTTTTGAAATGAAGAGGTGAATTCCTTGGGAATGTCACTCATTAAGTGGGGCACTTTGTGGTTACACAGAGGGGCCTTCTGCCTTTGAGATATCCTGCATATGTTAAAAATGCCTGAAGTAATCTTGAAAAAAGCTTTATGTACCTCATGGGATCCATGCTTGACTGTGTAAATGCGATTTCATTTGTGTGCCTCTGCATATTGCTTTGCCAAGCTGGGTGGTCTGCTTACTTTTACAGTTCTCAACCAGGACAATATAGTGAAAACTCCTCCAGGGACAACCTATTGCACTGCAGGGTTAGAACAGACACATTCGCTATTTAATAAAGGAGTATTTGCGCTGTGATGGTATGCTCATGGGTATAAATAACTTCTTAAAAGTGTAATAAGTTCACCTTGCCAGCATTATACGGAGATTTGAGAGCTGTATCTTAATCCAGCAGCAGTGGAAGGGCAAAGCACGGAGGGAAAATGAGGTTATACTGCCCTTAATAAATTATGTCTTATTTGGGACTGAGAGAAATGGCAGTTTCTTTGTGCTGCTGAAAAAGGAAATAGAGCATTAAAAATCAATCCACAAGTGGTTGTTAATGAGGGAAATCAGGGTTTGAACTACACTGTGAGGCAAGATCTGTGCTCACGTTCCTGGTGGGGGTGTTCTGGCCCCTCTCAGGTCAGTAGCAACGTTCCCCTTGATTCCAGGGAAGTCTATCCTCTGCAAAGCAATTTTCATATAATTCATAGAATGAAGGCCTGATCCAACCTCTCTGAAGCTGGTGGAGCAGTCAGACGTCAGTGGGAATTAGACCCAAATCAAACATCTGCAGATAAAACCTGCATTTCGCGTTTAAATGTATTTAGGTCAAGACTGCAAAGTGGCATTTTGCCTTACTGGCCTTTTGCCATCATCTCTCTCCACAACACAACTTTAAAAAATTCATATTAAAAGCTACAAGCGACTCTCAGATCTTTTTCATCTTTCTAGATCACTGGGGCTCTCCACTCTGTACCATTTTCTTAGTGAGATGATATTTATTAGAGTTGCAGTGCTCTTATAGTTTTCTCCTGTAGTCTTGGTGGAACTACTCTCAGCCTAAACATCTCACGTCTAAACAGCTCAAGAAGGCACCAGACTAAAAAGCTATTTATTGGGAGCAACCATGGTCTCAAATGAATTACAGTTGGGAAGCCCTTGCAAAGACTTCATGAATTCAACACCTTATAGCTGAAGTACATTTCATGTTTTCAATACTGGCTACTTCTGTGGCCAGGAATAAATGCATAGCCCCTTCCTGGAGCTACATCACAAAGCAGATACTAGATTTGCTGGACCAGTGGTCTAGCTGGATATGGTGAGTTGTTGTGGGTCCTTTTCCAAGGTCACTTCCAGTAGTCTTTCCACCCTATCTATGCTGTGATCACTCTTTGTCTGAATGCCTTTCATGAATTTTCTATTTTTCTTAAAAATTTAAGTTCTTTGAAGGTGCTACCTCAGAGGACATATGTCTATACCAAAGAGTTAAATATAGAGTCAGTGTAGCCTTGACCAAAACCAGCTGAGGGGAGTGGTGCTGAGTAAACAGGAGATGTGGAGAAATTGCACATCCAAGAAGCATTGGGGAAAATCTTCATTGCCTCACTTCCTTTTCTCATTCGCTTTGGTGTTTCTTTACATGTACAAGTGTGTATTGATGCTTCCTTCTGCCCTTGCCTGCATGCAGTCGAATCAAAAGCAATGTGGATGGACGGTACCTGGTTGATGGTGTCCCCTTCAGCTGCTGCAACCCCAGCTCCCCAAGGCCCTGCATCCAGTACCAGGTCACCAACAACTCGGCTCACTACAGCTACGACTACCAGACGGAGGAGCTCAACCTCTGGGGCCGTGGCTGCCGGGAGGCCCTCCTGCACTACTACAGCAGCATGATGAGCTCCATGGGTGCTGTCGTCCTCCTCGTCTGGCTTTTTGAGGTAATCTGTCAGCATGGTAATTCTCGCCCCTAAAAATTTGATTAAAATATATCAATCATCCACCATCATTCTATGGCCAGGAAATCATAGAAGGTCCCAGGCTTGAGATGGAAAGCCCAGGAAGGGCTGAGGTTACTCCATAGTAAGTCCCATCAGGGCCTTGAACGTCCCCACAACCAGGAGAACAAGCAGACCAGCTTTGGGCCTGATGCAGAGCACTGGGTGGGGAGTGTGAGAGCTCAGTTCTCCAGGAGCATTACTTCTACCTGTGTCACACCCTAATGGGCAATAGAAGGTGCTCAGAGCAGTGTACCAGAGCGAGATGGCAGAAAGTTGTGGGGCATAAAGTGGAATTAAGTGTTTTATGTGATGATAAAAATAAAACCTGGAGCCATGTGCAGTGTCCAGCTTCAGATCAGCATTTGGTTTAAGGTTCTCCATTAGCTTTGTCAACTTTTTTGGTCACAAGATGGAATTTCGGCAAAGCAGGCAGATAAGTTTTGGTTTGGTCTGCTATCAAGAACCTCAGCTTGTGTGCAAGCTGGTGCTGACATGGTCACCATCACCTGAAGTGCAGCTTTGTTGTTAAAACATTGTTCATTTGATGTGAGAAATACACATCCCTCTGCCCTTCAGAGGCAGACAATTTTCTCACTGAGGTGTTTAATCAGAGCTAATGTGAAGGCTGTGTGAGCTGGAAGAGACATGGGGGCAGGCACGAGTGCTGGGAGCTGCTGCCCAATGACATCGGCTGTCTCGAATGATTGGGCTGGCTTTTTCAAAACGCAGATGAACACAGATGAACAAAGAAGCACTGCGTTGTGATGCAGGTGTTGGTTTACAGCCTTCCAAGCAAACACTTCTCCTAATATCCTGTGAGGGATAAGAAAACCATCACATAGTTACTTCGTGTTTTGTTGTAAGAACAAGCACTCTGCAGGTCTGAGAAATGTGCTGTCTGCCTGTAGCACCGTCATTCTGGTCAGAAAGCAGAGAGAAGGCTGCAGCATGTGTCTCAGCACAGACACAAAGGCTGAGTCCTTGAGGAGAGGACAGCTCTGCTGTACATGAAATTCAAGAGATCCAAAACTCAGGCGTTGAATTGCACAAAAATGCTGTGAAAAAACCATGAGCAGGAGTCTGTAATATAACTCTGCTGCTTTCTGGGAGAGCAGTGATAATGATAATGTTAATAGCAGCAATAAAAATACTGCATTTTATTTCTAACTTTTCAAATTATACCCTGGCAGTGTTTTCAACCTGTGGAATAATGAGGAATTTGATCTTCTCTGCTTTTTCCTTCATCTTTTTTGAAATAAAAGGTGAGATTTTTTCAGGTAATCAGAGGACTCTCCAGGCAAAGCTTTAGGGAACTCTCGCCTGCACTCACAAGCCTGGGTTCTATTAATTGTCCTTCTGGGTATTTATGACTTGCCTGATATTCCATAATAACAAAGCCATATCCGGGTCTCAAACTTCCTCTGCTGTTTAGAGGAACTTTGAAGGGAGGAAGCAAAGCAGGAAGCACAGACCTCTCTTGGAACACAATCACTTTCTTTAAATTGCAATCAGGGTAGGAAATGGTTCTGTGCTGAGCTGCAGTGCAGCAGAGACCCAGGGCTCTTGGCAAAGGTTGGGCTTCAGCCTCACGAGGGTGTGACACAGAGAGAACAGGCCTAAGGGACCCTGCCAGTGGGGCCAGAAGGACCAGGGGGTGGGAAGTGTGGCAGGATCTCAGAGAGATGTCCTCATGGATGTTACTGGCACGATGAGATGCCAGAGCACCTCTGGGCAGGCTGCTTGGGTGTCAAGTTTCTATACAAACCTACTATGAAGTATTCAGACCTCTATTTGAAAAAAATGCAGCCTGTCATATTTTCTGGAAGTGTATAATTATCTGCATGCTGCTTGTACTAGCAAAGCTGTAGGATTCCCTGGAGTGACGGTCAGTCATGAGGGTGACAAAAAAAGATCACAGTGTGCCCTGGCTAAGCCGCCTCAGGCTAAAACCTGGCAAACAGATGGGCTTGGCTGCAGAAGGTCAAGCAGAGCAGGCTCAGCCATCTTAGGGACTTCCTCAGCCAGAAAGAGGAAACTAGGGGGTTGAAGAGTGCATTTCAAAAGCAAGGATGGGAAGCTGGTTCCCCACTCAGTTTGTCTGTTAGCCAGGGCAAATCATCACTCTGCAAAACTGAGCTACCTTTGCGATGCCCTTCTCTTCTGAATTGTGATTAAGCACAGATTTACAACTCAGAGCTTCACAAACTGAGTGGGGTTAGCAGGAACCTCTGAAGGTCATCTGTTCCAAGCCTCCTGCTCAAGCAGGGCCCCCTACAACAGCTTTACCATGACCTTGCCCAGGAGGCTTCTGAAAATCTCCAAAGATTGAGACTCCACAGCCTCTCTGGCTGTGCCCATGCTTAGTCATCCTCATGTTAAAATAGCTTTTCCTGATGTTTCAATTTGTGCCCGTTGCCGCTTATCCTGTCACTGAGCACCAGTGAAAAGAGCCAGGCTCCATCTTTGCACCCTCCCTTCAGGTATTTGTACACATGGATAAGATCCCTCTGAACCTTCACTTCAGGCTGAGCAGGCCCAGTTCTCTCAGCCCTTCCTCACAGGAGAGGTGCTCCAGTCCCTCAGTCATCTTCATGGCCCTACACTGGACTCTCTCCAGTCCATGTCTCTCCTGCACGGGGAAGCCCAGAACTGGACCCAGAACTCCAGACAAGGCCTTACCAGTGCTGAGGAGAGGGGAAAAAATCACTTCCATCAACACATTAACAACACTTTGCTAAAGCAGCCCATGGTACCATTAGCTTTCCTTGCCACAAGGACACATTGCTGACCAATGTTCAACTCAGTGTCCAGCAGGACTCCAAGGTCATTTTCTGCAGAGCTGCTTTCCAAAAGGCAGATTGCCAGCCTGTACGGATGCCTGGGGTTGTTCCTTCCCAGGTTCAGGACTCTGCACTTGAAGCTGCACTTGAACTTCAAACTTGCTGAGGTTCCCATCCGTCCATTTCTTCAGACTGTCGTCATCTCTTAAAGTATTTCTATACGCTTAGGCCAATTCAAAGTATCTCTACAAAGCTGAAGTGTGATGAAGCATTAACATACATTTCTGAATTAACAGAGAAGTCCAGCTGCCATTCATAATTTCTCTGAGAATGAGCATTGTGTGCTGCTTTAAGTGTCCTGGCCAGGGCTCAAAAATGGAAAGAGATGGGGCTATTGAAAAGCTATCTGCATTGGAGGTTCAGAATAAATAATTTACAACATAAATTACTTCAGTAAAACTGAATGTGGGAAAAGGGTTCAGCAGATAGTTGTTTCTAACTTTCTGGACCCTCTTCTCATCCAGCAGAGAAGGCAGGTTCAGATGGGAGGTGGCAAGAGCTGAAGAACTTAGGACTGCTTTTAGCAAGCCTCTTAAACCTGGGACTCAAAATATTTCTGAGTATGACTTTTAAGAAAAGGAAGTCTTAAACTGAGAGAAAATGTCATAGAATCTCACTTGCAGGCAGGTCTGCCGGTCCTTTCAACGTAAGCAGTTTCTTTTTTAAAGCAAGACCATATTTAGTGACTAATTTCTCTCCAGGAAGCCTGAGAGTATGATTAATTACACTGCCAAGTAGTGGGACTCAGTAAATCAGTCACAAGAGAAAGCTACTGCTGACATACAGTAAGGAGGCACAGGTAGAGAACAACACAGAAACCACCTTTGAAGTCCAGTCCTATTAATATATTAATCTTCACCTGCAACAACCTTTGATATGAAAGTTATTAATCCCATTACTGACAGCAGGAAAAATGGGGCTCAGAGTGCAAGGAAGATTCCAGACACTTAAAATCCTACAACTAGTATGATGTAATTTATCACTTCTTGTGGCCTTTATAGAAGCGTGCTACAACCGATTTACACCACTGTGGTATTAGGTAGATTCAGAACAAAGTAGGACTGTCTCCAGATTCAGATCTATGAGAACCTTTTTTGAGGACCAAGGAATCAAGGAGGTTGCATTCCTATGTTAGACAGGATGAGACGTTGCTTTTGGAGATTGAAGTACTTGATGAAATTTGTTTGTTTGGCTGAAGCCTTCCCCTTTATGGCCTTGGGTGAAGACAGAAAAACATAAACATCTGAAAATGCTGATGGTTGCTTTTGTCTTCCACGAGTTTGAAGATGCTGATCACACAGAGCCAGCACAACCAGGATAAGAAGGTTAAGGAATAGTCCACAGAAGCACAGGCTTGACCAGTCCTGTGTTTTAAAGGAGTCCAAAAGCCAGATGTGAATTTTACAATTAGCCATGTAAAGGGTCAGAGTCCCAGACTGGCTACCTGACACAGTTTGCAAGTGTTCTCCATCTTCATCTTTACTTAGAGGATGTTGCTGCATCCTGACCACTTTCTCAGCCAGTCCATCAAGCTGGCTCTTTTTGGCACTTTCTTTCTGTATTTCGCAGATTTCACAGCCATATTTCACACTTTTTCTCATAAGCACCACACAGCTGGAATCAGATTGCTCTCAACAGTGATAGGAAACTGGCAGCTTTAGCAGGGTGAGCGCTGTTCTGCTGATGGCAGAGGTCAGCAAAGACACAAACAGGGATAGGAAGCTTTTCCTGACTGTCCCTCTCTTCTCCATTGCATGGCGCAGATGTCTGTGATGGTTGGCTTGCGTCTTTTGCACACCTCTCTGGAAAGCATCACAAATCCTGAAGACCCTGAGTGTGAAAGTGAAGGGTGGATTCTGGAGAACAGCCTGAAAGACACTCTGAAGTCTGCATTGGAGAGCTTGAAAAAGATTGGTAAGTTCAATCAGGTGGAAGCAGGTGCCGAAGGGGCTGAAGGAGAAGAAGCTGGGAAGACTCCAGCCATCACAACAGTCAGTTGAGCTTCTAAATGATGTGAACTCTGATCAAAGAGGAATGAAAAAACTGAGGATTGTGAATACCTACTTTTTAAAAGCTATGTATCAACCATCAGAATACACATTCCTACACATGCTATTTTTTATTATTATTATGCATATATACGGAAGGATACAGCATAGTGCACCTTGGGATAATGCATTTATCCACTCACTGAGTACACCATATTCATTGCTTCTGGGGGAAAATGACTCCACTAGGACTTTCAATACTCACACGTTCCCTTACCAGGGACTGCTAGCATTAAAAGGAAATCATAATAATTGTTGGCATCACACCGTTCCATTCCATCTTATTTTGAAATTAAAAGTGGAATCTGAAACGTTAGCATTTTTTCTCAAGTTGGCTTACCATCATACTTAATGTACGTTAACCTAGAAAGACAAATGTCTTGGTTTTCTGGAGAGTAATATATTAAATTCAAAGGAAGAATAACTTCCAGAACTGTATATAATAACTTAGTGTTTTGACAAGCCTCTCCTATAATGTGTTTTTTTTTGTTAATGTGCTAAGCAATGGTATTTCCTGCTGTATTTTTAAGATGTACTTAATAGAACAAAACAAAAAGTTATTCTGAGAACTTAAGTACTAAACAAAAATTGTAACTTAAAGAACAGAGCAAGCACGAAAAGAACACCAAGGTAAGATTTATGGGTTTTGTTCTTGGTTTTTTTTTTTTGTATATCAGTATATTCAGTATATCCTGAATGAACGCACTGTAGACTTAAGCTTCACCTTGTACTCAAACAAGCAGAAGTTTAGAAGATTCCTCTTGTAGTGGGTGGAATCAGTGCTATGAGCATGTGCCAGTCATGGCTATTCTGGATGTTTATAAATACATAATCTCATAGCTTTCTCCATGGCAGTCAAGCCCAACTACTTTTAAATTTAAAATTAAAAGAAAAAAAGAAAAAAAGGAAAAAAGGAAAAATGGAAAAAAAAAAAAAAAAGGATTCTTAGAAAAAAGACTTTGAATGTTTTCCAGTGTCCTAGCAAATGGATTCCATTCACTGGTAAGTACATCACGCCTCAAACTTTGAGGCTGGAGAAATGTAAGTTTAAATCTGCCCCCAGCTTACAAGCTTTACAACACTTATTTTTCTTCATCAGTGACCAAGTACCCTTCATTGTACCTTACAAGTCAAAGGGAAGGCACATTTTGCACGTGCTGCCCATCTCTGAACATTGGTCATAGCTGGAGGACCCCTTTTTTAGTACATAAAGTTGCAATAACCATGGGAAGCTTGCTGTGGTATGCATCCTCCAGTGAAGGAGCAGAGCATCATCTTGAGTCTTCCTGCTGCTGCCAGACAAGTTCAGCTAAAGGGAAAGAAACCAGAGAGAGCAAACACTCACCTTCCTGTTCCACACACCACTATCAGCTAAGAGACAGATCCACACTTAGGTTTTGCTCTGCTGTGCAAAACTTCTACTCTTCTGTGGTGCACCTCGTGGAGTTTTCTCAGCAGGTCCTGTCCATCTGGCTGGTGGCCATTCTCCAAACGAGCCATGTTCATGGCTGCCTGATCACTGCACAGCTCGTTGGGTTTCATTCTCAGTCGCTTGTGCTCTCATTCCAGCATCCCTGCAGAACCACAGCTCCTCTGGCTTTTGTTCAGAGTGATAAGCAGCTCCTCCTAGATGGGCAGACCAGTCCGTGACAGGACAGGTAGGAATGTGTCCGTGCATCAAGCCAGTGTCCACGTCCCAGTGGCCAAACTGTTTCAGGCCACCTGCACACAAGGCTTGATTTTGACAGGTATTTATGGCATCCTTTCATTTTTTTTTTAAAGCTGATGACAGCTTTAACCTTTAGTTACAATAAAGAAGAAAAAAAGCAAAGCCAACTCTGAAGTACACACAAGAGCAACCGGAAAGAGGGGACCAAGTTAAAAGCCAACTTGCTATTCACCACAGCCTATCGTTGATTGCTTTGCTGAGGGAAACTGCACAGCAGAATTGTTGGGTAGAGCAGAGCAGATGCTTTCTTCTCAGTGAGAAATCCATACAACCAGCTGTTCGTCTCAGCTGGCCCATGAGAGAAGAACAAGGCTTCAAATGGCATGTGACGTAGCCCCGTCTGTCAGAGAAGAGCTTTTTGGAGGAAACACATTATGACTAGGGGCTGCATTACAAGGATTACAGTTTTTCCTTGTGAAGCTTCAGTGTGCTGTGATCCACACAGGTTTTTTGGCCAGACATCAGTTTTTACAAAGAGATCTAGATCTACTGCTGTCTTAGCAATTTGGTATAGGATGTTCCTTTAGACAAGACTTGTTTGTGGTCTCTATTCTATTCAGTTTGTTGCTAGGGAGACAAATTGTCAAATTATTACTTCAACACCACCTTGGAGAAGCCAATTCCAAGAGCAATGCTGTCACTGCATAAGTTGGGTAGAGACCATCAGAGGCAGGCTTATGAAGAATAATACTGGAATTGGGGTTTTGTGCAAGTACGAACCAATAGTGTGTATGCTCATGCTGTCTAAAATAAAGCCTCCTGTTTAATGAAGATCTTTGTAACATCTCATGATTATTACAGAATTGTAATATGGTTGTTTTGTAAAATATTACATGTAATATATCATTGATTCAATCTTTAATATATTTTCTTGTGACATGGCAAATGCTGTTCTAGATGAAGATACCTCTGCTGCACGCAAATGTGAGTTTAGGTATTAAAGTTCTGTTGCAAGTAAAAAACCTCTTTAAAGAAAATGTTTAAAAATGCATACAATTTAATACAGATTTATTTAATTTGCATTACTGCTGACTTTTTGCTTCCATGGTCATTTTCTCACCCATTTGATGTGTTCTTACAGGGAATTTTTCACCTTTATAAAATGGCTCAGAGAAAGCAAAACTTCCTCATGCCTTGTGCCAAGCTCAGGATGTACAGAATGCTAATTTGTTTTCCTTTTACTAGAAAGAGAATTTGCCAGACCAGTTCAGCATCTCCTTTTCCAGTGTGCCAGAATCATATCATCTTCACAGCACTTGTAGAAATGCTCAGCATCTTCAGGGTCTTTGACAATCATCTCAGCTGGGTTTCTAAGTCCTTTTTTCCCCCTTAATGCTCAGTCACAGCAGACATTCTGAAGTACTTCTTCAGTTTGAAACTTGCACCTGAAGCCGATGTAGCCAGATGTGCCTGAAGCGACCTGAGAACTTCCTGAGCACTGCCCTGATTCTCAGATAAACTTCAGAAAGATGTGTGCTTAATTGATACGAACTGGGACCTTTCTTTTTAGGGGCTTCCATATGGATTACTGGCTTAAATCTCAGTACCCAGACCTGAGAGCCAGCCCAAGGCCTTGAAGTGCAAATTGTTCAGAAATATCCTTTATTCAGAATATATGCCTGCACACATTTGTTTGAACTGACACAGAACATTCATTAAACGCTTTAAAGGAGAAAATATAAACAGCTTCCTTAAAGCTATTAATTCCTAAGTAGCCTTAATACAACTGATGAGATTAGCCTCCATGCATTACATGAGCTTGGACATTTTGTAATACCACCAAAGGCATGCACGTGGCTGAGCGGGGAGCAGGAGGCTCTGGGTATGCCTCACCAGTAGGCAGGGAAGGCCGATATAAAAACCAGGAATTTCAGCACAACTGTTCCTTTTCACCTGGTATCTATGTATTTTCAGGTTAAAAATAAAGAAGTATTACTTGTCCCATGATCAATGAAAAATGGGGACGGATCACAAATGCTTATTCAAGAAAAAAAAAAAAAAAAGTAAAGAGCATTATTAGAGATTAGTTAATTAAGAGATAAGGACAGAAAAATAGAATGGTGTCATGTGGTAACAGCCCTCTGCCGGAGACGAAGGCTTAGGCAAATGCATTTATTTATGGGAACGTGAATGCAGCTATCTCTATGAAATTATCTGTGCGATGAGATGAGATCTGTGCTGCTGGGCGACTGACTCAAACACGGCAGCATTTCGCAGCCCCAGGCTGCTCATGGTGCTGGAGCACAGGGCCTGGCAGTCCCTACGGAGCCTTTGGCACCGCGTGGCGCAGAACCAGCCCCACCTCGCCAACAGCGTGCTCCAGCCGCCAGTCACCAACGGAGCTCATTACAAGGTTCATCTCCAAACCCTGCTGCACTCTTTGTTCTCAGAGCCATTTTTTCCACAGCAAAGGCAAGCCTAAGGATCAAAGGACCCCAGGAAAACTCGGTAATTCAGGGATCAAACAGCAAGTCCACACGCCAGCATCTGGGCACACTCACACGTCTTCGCCTGGCATCGCCCTCCCAGGGCACAGTGCTGAGGTTCAGAGAGGAAGGACAGGCCTGTGAGGTACAGCACCAGGAAGCGCTGCTTCCCAACAGCAAGCTAGGCCAGGCTGCCTGTTGGGATGGAAATGAAGTTTTTCTCTTCTTGAAAGACTTCAAATCTTTCCGAAATCACTTTGAAATGTGCAGTAGAGAACCCAAGGCCTTCAAACTGCTCTCCTTCCCAAAACTGCTCTCCTCCCCGGCGCAGCCGAGCTGGAGAGATCACAAACTCCCTCACAGGCGTAACGCAGCTGTGTGCAGCCAGGGTAGCTCCTTCACCTGCCAACCTGTTCCCAGCAAGCAGCCCCCAAATGCAAAGCTTCCTTGCTACAAACTGCTTTCAGCCTTCCCAGGTCAAGCCTTTCCTAAGAGAAGAGTACAGCTCTGCCTCGGGCAAATGCTTTTGCAGATGAGATGAGTTTTCCCATTGACGCTCATGCTCTGTCTGGCACAAATAACCAAACTGAAGATGATAAAAAACCACAAGTGAAAAGCACAAACAAGTTCACATGCATGAATCTGTCATTAATTGTAAAATTTAAGAGCAGAAATAAAATTCTGCAATGTTGCTGTAGGCATATTTTAAATAAATTACAACAGCATTTTTTATTTCAACCTCAGAATCAAAAGTTAACAAGTACCTAAAATTTAATTTATTTAAGTGCTTCAGATTATTCTCGTGATTAGGTGACGTTAAAAATGGATTAAATCCATTCCAGGAAGCATTTTGCAAGTGTGCCTGGATCTCAGGTAAAGGTTTCTGCCATCCCTTACTGCAGAACAGCCCTGGCCCCATGAGATGGACTGGCTCTGTCCCCTCCTTCCTGGCCATCTCCAGCCCTCCACTGCTCAAGCAGTTACAGGTGTGTCACCTCCACTGCTGCTACAGCCCTGAGCATGTCTGCTGCTATGGAGCAACCACATTCTTGGCTTTGCTGTCTCAGGTGGATGGGACACCTTCCAGCACCCACATAACTGCTGTGCTACATCTGCCCAACCAGGTGAAATGCTAACCATGCCAAAACGTTTGCTCTTAGAGATATCTCCCACACACGAAGAACAGTGATCCCCTCACCTTTCAGCCGGACATGGTGTGCTGCTGCTTGCTCCCAGCAGCACGAGCATTGCTACAGCACCTACCTCCCTGTCAAGAAAAAAGCCCTACAGCTTCCTCAGTTCCTGAGCTCCACCCAGTTCCAGCTGGCAATAAGGGTGGAGAGAAGCTTAAAGTTCACACTACAGAGCAGCACACAGAAATAAAGTCCGACGCAATGCCCTTTGTTTCAGAGCTGAGGCAGTGGTCTGAGCTTTCAGCTCCCACTGCGCCTTACGAGCACACCTCGCTCCCTCACACACAGGCCTCTCTCTAACTCGAGGGCACCAGTGGATTATGTCAGCTGCCGGACTCCTTATTTTTAAATCCTTGTTATTTTTAAATAACCTTTTCTCTGATTTATTAATATGCTTTAGCATCCCTCACGTTCAGAGTACTGCAAGTGCAGAAATATGTTCCACCTTTAAAAAAAATCACCTTATTTTATAAAATCAGTAAGGCATCCCACAGAGGGCTGTGCAGATGCCACCTCCAGCCCAAGCTCGGCCATCCCACCCTGCCTGCCGCTCATCACACAACCAGTTTTCATTCAGGCATCTGATGCAGAGAGCAAACTGGAAAACTTGGCACCCCCAGTCTCATGCTATCTGGCAAGAAACTGTGGGAACATACATTCACAACTGATGAAAATAACATTTAATGGCTGCTGTCATGGAGACGAAATCAGAACTTGTCATTTCTCAGCTCCTACACCTGGCGCACTGCAGAAACTCTTCCTCTTTTTCTCCTCCAAGGGTAGAGATTTGATAAGCCTCTCTCTTAGACACAAAGATTTGGGCATCTAACATTTGTGGGCCAGGAGAGCGTGGCAAAAGAGCAGAAAAATAGAGTACTAATGCACACAGCAGTTTTAATACTTGGCACAGAGATCTGTAGAATAAATGTTAAAATCACTATGAGTTAAGCATGAATACAGAGATACTTGCATAGAAGGGCAGGTAAAGTAGGCAAGCAAGAGTTAGGAGTTAGTTAGCCTGTATCGATATACAGGGAGTTGACTAACTGCAGTAAAACAGCAGGTACTGATGCCTTGCTTAGATCCAGACCAGGAAGCCTGAGCTCCAAAAAGGCCACGGTACAGCTCTATCAGAGATAGATCTGTACTTTGGTCACAAGAGAAAGAAAAATGAGGTTTTAGTGTGCTGTGTGTGCCATGCCTGTTCCTGTGCCATATTCCAGCCCTAGGAAACTTCATCTCTTTTGAGAGGACTCTCTCCTTCGGTATTTTGATCCATCGAAAAGAAAAATAGATTTTGTGCTGAAGATACTTTCACAGTAGATAGAGCATCCAGCTTATAAACAACCACCAAGAAAGATAGCACACAATAAAATGCACTGGAGTGAGGCGCCAGGCTGGAACCTAAGAGCCAGCATGGCTCCAGAGCACAAGCTCAGAACAGAACACCTGTGCACACAGGCCCCCGACACCCACTGTCCTAAATACATAAGAGCATAGCAATGCTGAGTCCTTCAGTATGGGTCAATTCCCAGTGCTAGAGAGAAAAATAAGGCCCAAATGTGACTTGCGCAGGCACCAGAATGAAGACTGGTTTGATGAACATAGACAGAAGCAATAGGGGACTGGAGGAGAGCTGAAGCTGGAAATAGGCTGAGCATCCATAGGCAGCACCATGGCTCAGCCAACTCCTTCAGCATCACAGATGAAGCAGCGGGAGCTGCAGGGAGCAGTGGTTGGCACAGTGAGAAGGCAGCAGGCGTTATCCTGGTCAGGTACTGCCATCAAGAAACTGTGAGCCTGCAACAGCAGACTGGGAAAGTAGAGTGCTACTATGAAGTATGAACACAGTAAAACAAAACAAAACAAAACCATCACTGCTGTGAACCCAAACTCTCCCTTGCATAAAATATAACTTACAATCCTTTAAAAAGATTATTAGACTTTTTGGTAGAGGTCAGGAAAGGTCTAGCTGACTGCAGCGTATGACACTAATAATATAATCATCTTACATTTTGAGCTGGGGAACTGCAGATGTTGCACATCCAGTCATTTGTTAGCTCGCGATTAACAAGGTGACACGCATGAAGGAACAAGCTCAGCAAAATTCTAACAGCAGTTTAAGTACTATTTCTATAATGACAACACCAAAAGCATTTGATGCCTTGAGCTTTCTTTTGTTTTCTGTTGTGATGATTTCTGGTTTGGGGATTTTGTGGATTTTTTTCTTGTTGGGTTTTATCTGAATTTGGTTGGGTTTTTTTTCCCCCTGCAGACACACAGTACATCCCAGATTAATATTTGCAGATTGCACAAAGTTATACCTAATTTATTACAGAAATTATTCCCCTGATGCTGAAACATTATACCGAAAATATTTTTACAATTAATACACGCAAACAAATAAGAGAGCAGAAATCTCAGGTGAAGAACAACTAAACTTACTTTGAAAAAAAAAAAAAGCTAACTGGAGTACTCTACAGTGAAAAGTTTACCAACCTATTCAATCTCATAGACTTTGATGATTCCAAAGAGCAAATCCTTCTTGCTATCAATGTTTTGCTTTGCACAGAGAAATCTGTCGGTGTCATCAGTTATCTTTTTAACATGCTTTCAGGGAAAAGGAATCTTTCAGTGCAGTTACAGATCATCTTTAGATGTGGCAATAGCTGAAGCAGCCAGATTCTGCAAAGAGGCAGTAACGTCACCAAAAAAGATGTGATTCTTTAAGTACCATGCTAAGAAAACTTGCTATATTAACCTCCCTAAGTAGGGGACAGTAAAGATGAAGCATTAATGCCCTCTTCTATGTGATATTTCTGCATGGCTCTGCACAAGAAGTGACAAAGACAGGTACAGGGTGACATTGGACAGGTAGTAGAGTGGAGAGCAGCCTGTGATGTTTTCAAGAAAAGGGAATCAACATTGGCCAAGTTTGTTTATTTTGCATCTTCACTCAACACTGTTACTGAAGGTGAAAATCGCCCTATACACCATGACTATACAAATTGATCTGAAGCATTAAATCTGTAAAAATAGAAACAATCCCAAATCAGGCCAAGTGTAACTGAAGATACAGCAGACAGTAAGGGATTGCTTGTCTGGGCTCAAGACACAGTCAGAAAGTAAGATTTATTAAGGAAAGTAAGGTTATTAAGGAACGGAACTACGTAAGTTATTACTATTTGTCAAAAGGTAGGAGAGATAAGGGTAATGGATTTTATTTTAAATCAATCAAGTATAATGTCACTTTTTTAGAGACACCTTGGCGGTCTAATTACATACAACTAGAAAACTCACTGCCTTCAGGCACCCTTGTATCAAGTGCAAATCTGCGCAGTTATAGAATATATTTATAAAATATACTATATGCAAACATCTTTACAGAGCTTTAAATCAAGCCAAAAGTAAATATACTTGATGGTACAACAGAAAAAATGAACAGAGGCAAAAATGCGGGCAGTGTGATTGCGCCCATTCAAAGTCAGAAGAAATCATTCAGCTCATCCGCAACAAAACGTAGGTGGGATCTGCACCTTAGCAGTTGACTCTTAACCAAAACGAAGAAAATATCCTCTCTGCTTCTGCAAATTAACAAAATCAGCTTTCATGACATTTTTACACATCGTTATTATCTTAAAATATCTTCTAAAGCACAAATGTCAACCCTTGAATACCAATAACCAATCACATAACTGACGTGAAAGGGTTTCCCAGCTAAATTCAAATTACAAACTACATAATTCTAAGGAGTGCAATGCTCTGGAAAAAGCTTTAAATTAAATTATTTTACTCATAAAGCTAGTGTTAGGGTTTGTTGTTCTTTTTTTTCTCTTTTTTTTTTTTTTTTTTAGTTAAAAACAACTGGAAGCAAGAAAGCTGCAAGAGTACAAATGACAAAATCATTTCAGATATGCCAAGTGTAAGAGTGAATTATCCACCGATGCAGACAGAAACATCCATTCGCTACATTATTTGCTTCCTGACTTCATTCCATTGCATGTACACACAGCTTAGGTATTAAAAGGCAGAAAAATAAATAAAACGGCTCAGATCACTAGCAAGGGGCAAGACACAATCTGTAATTGTGCTCTATCTAGTTTCCATTTCAGCAGTCTATTTCCTCTGGTAGTTTGTAAGAAATATCATAGACTTCCAAAAAGAGTCATTCTTTTCAATCAGAAACTCAAGTTCGTTTGCCCAGGTTTATAACCCAAGAGGTTTCTGTGAAGGAAGCACAGTGCAAATTATATGACTAATAAAACTTGCTTACGTACAAAGTTTACTTGGTTATTGTTAACTGGTATCTTTATGAAATACAATGTAAAACAAAGATTAAATAAAAGGACTGGGTTTATTTCATTTTCTCAAACCTTTTTTTTTTTTTTTCTTCCGAATCCCTCCTTTGAAAAAGCTTATTGAATTACAAAAGTCTTATTAAAGTTCCAGTCTTCAGCAGATAACCATTATAAATGCTGCCAGTCGATGCCAACTAGTGTCTGATTTGCTTCTTGTGCATGTCCAATTTCCTCTGTGATGCTGTGCTGCTGCCAGAGTTTTTGAATCTTTTTAAATCGTTCTTTGCACAGATGTAAGGGATTCCCACGCCTGGAAAAGAGAGAAGGCTTACTGGATACGATAAACCGCTGCCACCAGGCACAAACACTGGAGGTGCAGTGCAGAACGTTGAGATAACCCTTTCACATTATTCCCTCATCAGAACAAACCAACAGGTACTTTAATCTGCAAACCGGAGCGCTATCTGGTCTGTTCTCCCAGCCCGATCACTCAAGGGTTCCCTCTGCATTTTGGCAATCAGTGCAGTTAACAGTGCTCTGAATACAGATTTTTCCAGCAGCCTTGCCATGCTGACCCAGCTCACATTCTATGATTTTGACAAGTTTCAGAAGTAGGGACTGGTAACAACATCAAGGCCTCAAACTGTTCTCATAGGAAACAGAGACAGAAGACAAAATCACCACATTAAATCAAATCATCCCATTACAACTTCACTTAGGATTAAAATAACACAGATAAAAGTCTGTGCACATACCTTGGTTGCTCCAAAAGTAATGCCTCCTATTAGCTTCTATGGAAACTACACCACTTACAAAGAGCACAATAACACTGTTTGATGGAGCCAATTCTCTGCTACAAAACATTATTTTTCAACATAGTCACCACCACTAGCTACGCAATTTTTACCAGCAATGAACAAGAGCCTGCATGTAAACTTGTAAAAATCTACACAAGCAAAGGTGATTTGCAGTTCTACAGCTGCTATGATGGTGTCATTGCTAGGAAATTGTTGCCCACACAGATGGGAGATAGAATGTGCTAAACCAAGATTACAATGCAGGTCTGGTAGAACAGTCCAGTCAAGATTGGTGATACATTCTACATTCTTCAAACTGGTATGAGGACTGGTGTTATTGTGCTGAAAGAGAAAGGTTGTCATCTTCTCTGGCCTGACTCTAGCAGTGCCAGCCTTCAGCTTAGTCAGTGTTGCAGTGCAGCAGTCAGAGTTGATATTTGTCTAGTTTCGAGGAAATCTAGAAGAATTGCCCCATCCTATCCTAAAAGATAGTGCACTCACTTCATCTGCTAGCGGCTGCATCCTGAACTTTTTCTAAGATGGAGAAATCACATCGCCACCCCATGGACTGTTGTCTTGACTCCAGCTCATAGTGGTGACACTGCTTGTAATGATGCAGTCCAGGACACTGTCACCTTCAGCCTTGTCCAGAACACAGCTTGTCTTTCACACTGCTGTTGCCACCAATGAAAAGCACCACCCACTGCCTCACTGTGCTCACATCCACTGCTTGGTCTCCACAAACACTCAACAAGCATTGATGACTGTCAGTGGATGCCACTTTTTCCACGTGAAGGCAGTGACACACCTTTGCTCCATACACACTTCCCTGTCAGACGCCATTTTGTCAGACTGCCCCTCTGCTGCCATCTGTTGCATGGCAACAAAATATAATAGATTATTCCTGGGAGGGTTCAAGCTCTACTGCCATACCACCAGTAGCCTCTTCTGATGTTGTGGGCCAACATAATAAAATAGGAGGCACTACTTTCAGAGCAGCCCTGTTTTCTAGGCAACTGCAGAGATGCTAAGAATTATTTAAGTTTTTAGACCTGAAAACTGCTCATAACTTCAGAATTCCTGTTTTTAAAAGTTATTTACAAAAATATTTACCGAAGTCCCTGGTCTGTCTCTCCATAGTCATCAAGGTAAGGAGGAGGATAAAAGCAGCCCTTTGTTTTTCCAGCTAAAAAGAGCACCTGACATTCTCGTACTCTAGAGAGAAAAGCAGAGTAGATTTTAGGTGTTGACTTTTAGACATATAATTCCTCATACTTTCACAGATGCTATTTTTCCAATTCTCAACTACTTTCATTCTGTGCAACCTGTGTGTGTAGACTTTTAAAGGCACTTTTTTTTTAAAAAGAAGAATTGCAATCTTATTCTCTTCCTGCTATAATTCCTTGGTAAGTCATATCGTATCATTTACGATCTGTAAAGTACTCCACATGACCACAAGAAAATAAAACAATATCACATCTCACTAATCTTTGCTGAAGTGAAAATAGAGATTATCTAACCTTTCCTCGTATGCATGTAACAACATGAGAGATAATTACTGCAACATTATTATCCAACTGCCAAGAGAATTGTAAATTAACTCTGCAGGAAGCCGACTAAAACAAATTTTAATGTTTTCAGCAACGACAAAAGAAGTAGTCAAGGAATTCGCCTTGTTTCTTAATGCTTGAGTGGAAAGAAACAGAGAAATCTATTTTAAGATGAAATTCCTATTTCCTGTTTTTTCAAAGAAACGACCTCCAAACACAAAGATGACTCCACTCCAGCCTATTCACCCTACAAGCACATTTATGGAACCACTCATGTCCACACGTAACCTAGCAGGATAAGCAGCAGCACTCAGTTCCTTACCTAAGGAATATGCCCACTCCAGAACCACAGCTGTATGTATGTGCAGTACAGGCTCCAACATCTTCTCCTTCTAACTCAGTTTGACAACAGTAACTCTGAGAACATAGCATGGTCCCACACACAAGGCACAATGTTGGAGCTCTGCTTTTGTCACCACCTGATTTTGGACACCTTTTATTAAGCAAAAAGAAATAAAATTATGTTATATTTATGCTCCCTGTGTCATAATATTCAAACGGGTTTTTGCTGGAAAAGATAACAATCAGTAACTGCTATTAACTTCATCATTCCATGAACAGTTTATGTGAGACTTTTAGATTAGATATTTTCCAGTTTATGAAAAGCAGCAGAAGACTTTAGGGGTTCTCAGTATAACTGCATGCAACTTACGAGAAATTAGAAGCTTGGTTAATGAGGCAGCTGTAGTCATCCGGAAGGTCTATTAACTTATTGGATTCTCTTGCATAGCTGGAATGAAACAATCAAATTAGCCACTGGAGGTTTAAGCAGCAATACACAGTGATTTCAAGCTAATTCATATTTTCCCAAATAATCTAAACAGCATCTGCCAATAATTTTTTTTTTTTTTTTTAAAGTTTTCCTCCTCTCTGCTATTCAAACACTAAGTGGCAGCTCATAAAAAAAGGAGCCCACAGCACCAGTTACACCACCTCCAGCTTTCCTAGATGTATTCTTGTAACAGATCTGAGAATAAACACATACAGAAAGTCAGAAAACCACATCATATATGCTTTCAGTGACACCTCGTAAGGTCACGACAGGTGCAAAAAATTTGCCTTCATCCCTTATCAGTTTGTTCTGCATTTCCCTGCTATCACTAACACAGAATGGAAAACAGACTGACTCTCTAGCTTAGATAACCTGACCTGCATTCTGAAGACAATTAGATGGTTTTTACTGCATGGACATGTATTTAATACCTAATATTTGTATCCTCAGAAATAAATTTTCAAGGCCAATTTTTTTTGGTTTTGCTTTTTTGGCTGACACTATACCTTCTAATAATTTTTTTTGCTTCTACAAAAAATACATACAAAAGCCTGAAATGTAAATACAGATTAGAGACAAACAATGTTTCAGAATGAGATGAGAGGGGAAAAAAAAAATAAAAAAAAAAATCACCAAAATGGACACAAACTGAGAAAGAACAGTTAAGAATCATCAAAGGAAAAAGAGTAAAAAAACAACCTCAATAATCATATGCAGCAGGAAACACATTAAAAAAAGTATTCTTACTGTTTAAGAGTCTGTTAGTAGCTTGGTATTTAATAAATAAAGCTATAATTCTTTGTCAGTTTTTTGCACACACAATACTGAAAGTGAGTTTTTGCAATGAGCAAAGGCAAATGAAATACAGGGATATGGTTTTATTGACAGCACTGAGAACCTAATATTGATTTTTAATTATAAAAATGGATGACCATTTAAATGAAATAGATCTTTAGTTTTACCCATTCTTTACAAACAGTCCAACCTAAGCCCACTATACTCTGAATTCAGAAAGCATTAAATAAATTGCTTAGCAAACAGAAATGTGTGTGTGAAGTTTTCCTTTGTTTGCTTTTCTACTAAGTGACCTGTTATTAATTTAACTGGAAAATGTGTATTATTTAAGGATATAATTAAAGATTCTGCACTTTTCAATAAGAGTTTCATACATGTATTTGCAACGTACTTTTTTAAATTGCAAAAGTAGAAAACTTCAGAAAATTGAAGAAAAGCCATGGGCTCTCTCTGCTGCAGATCAGCCTCAATAGAACTGTAAAATTTCATTTTCACTTCAAAATCTATGAATACAAGCAATATTTCACTTTCAAAATTTCTTTGCTAAACCCCCAAGCTCTTTGCCATTAAATAATACAAGGCTGCTTTTATGTTCTTTGAAATACCTCTTAGAAAAAAAACATCACCAAGAGAAAACTGCAACATCAAAGTTTGTTGTGTATGCTTAAAACCTCTCCACGATTACCTGACAGCATGCCTCTTGCCTTCCAGATATCTTTTTACTTCGCTGTTACTACACCAACTGCAAGAAAGCAGAAAGGAGATTTTGACTTCCAAAGACGTTTCAGAGTACATTTACCAATAATCTACAACCAAAAGGATTTTTCAAAAACATTTCTTCCATAAATGCTTTTAAAAATCTGATTAACTTCCACTTGTATATACAGACCCCTTGGAGAACAGTTACAGAACTGTGTTTGTGTAGAAATCTATATTAATTTAAGCATAAAAATGAAGCATACCTTTCTACCAAGGCATTCAGAATCTCACTATTTTCTTGAAAAAGGCAGGTGAGGTTGCTTGGCAAGGAAAGATAGCTACATAAGTGTTCAAACTGGTTTGTTCCATTCACTGTAAAAAAAAAAAAGAAAGAAAGAAAAAAGTATCATTCTCATAATAGTCCTTTTAAAATTACATCTATGATAAATGAAATACAGCCTGAAATGAGACAGCTGTCTTAAAAAAAAAAGAAAAAACTAAAAAAAATCTGTATTCCTCCATACCAAGGTGTGGTATGAAGTATGAAAGAATACTGGTAACTGCAGCAGGCAGCAATGTTGGAAATCTGCCAGTAATGACAAGCAGATTTCCACAGATTTCCTCTCAAAGCAGGCTTCAAGCTGCTCATTCAAGAACCACAATGAGAGCTCAATGGTCTCCACAAGTGAGCATATCTTTTTTTTTTTTTTTAAATGTTGTCAGTTAAATGGTAACTTTATGCTCTTTCTAGATCATGACACAAACGAGTCACATGTGATCAGTGCCCAACAATCCCAAAAACACAGTCATTTCAACTGACTGCAATGCCAAATTCTGCAAACAATATTTTTTAGGACACATCCACTGCACGTCACGCTACTGGCTTGACTCCCTGGAGCTTTGCTCTGTCAACTTGCATGATAAGCAGTACCACTACTCTTCTATGTCACAGTCTCTTTTACTTCCAAAGCAGTGAAGAAAATTAGGATGCACGCTGTTCCCTCACCTTCCTCTTTCTTAGAACCGTTCTATAAAACATCATGGACCTCTGTCTGTAAGTAGAGCCATACTTTGTATCTCATCTTAATATCTTTACAACAGACTCAACACTATTGCTCATTACCAGTCCACATTGAATCTGAGGAATCTTGTTCCAGGAAAGTGAAATTTGGAAATAAAGGTTTCTTTTTTAATACCAAATGTGTAAAGCATGTCAACTGTCCAATGAAAATTTACATTTTACTACAGCTTGTCAAGAAGCTTCATGTCAAGGAAACAATCCACAGCATGCAACAAATCATGAAAATCAACTGTTCTAACACCAGCTCTGCACCAAGTAACCACGTTTTAAACTTGGGAATCCCAAAGAAGTGTGACCCTACTTTTGATTACTATGATTAATACTTTAAGTTTTACAATCAGTTGTGACGTATATAACCAGTTTTTGTTTGGAGGCTTAAGTTATTAACTCAAAATGTTGATAACAATGCAAACAAAAGCAGGTCTTATTGGGCAACAGTAACAAATAACAGAACTGGAATAGAAAATATTTCACTTATTATATATATTATATATTATATAACAGAAGAACATAAATTTCTGTTTTAAATAATCCAGAACAGTATAGGTCTCCACGTTAAAAAAAGTTTTAAAAAATGAATCTGAAATGTTGGAGTGGTTGTTTGGGGTTTTTTTTGTTTGTTTGTTTCTGTTATAGAAATCTAATTTCGCCCTGGTATCAAGGCTGCAATTCATTCCACCAGGTTTTGTTTTGTTTTTCAGAAAAGATCCTATATGTACTTTGCTTCACCAATACATATTTGTTTGTGTCTTTTGGAAAGCTGACAATACAAAAAGTTAAGCACAAGGTACCTTGAAGTTCTGAGGGTGCTGGGACTCCATTTAAGTAATGAAAGAACAAAGCAGAACATCTCAGAAAAGGCATGATTCCAGCTTTTAGATTCCTCCATAGGTGCCATCCTGAGGAAATTTCTTTCAAGGCACTTAAGAGAAAAAACAAAACAAAACAAAGACTTTGCAGTTTCAAAGCTATATTTAGCAAGTCTTCAGTCCTATTTCCTATTAAGTAATGCTTGTTTAAACTGAAGTCAGTAAATATAATGTTTATTTCAACACTAAGAACAACACTACAATAGATTCAAAAACGGTAACTAACTTGGACACTTAATTAAGGTAAAATTTGCATAGGTATTTCAGATTCTAATAAGTTCACTCAGACACTGAAAGACTGCCATACCTTCCTGTACACTGGCAAAGAAATTTATACAGCGTAAGCACAGCTTCTTCTTCTTCACTGCTGGTGTTCTCTTGATCCATGCCATTCTCTTCTGAGGAACAAAGAAATAAAAAGTTACTTCTACAACTTGTACAGCAAGAATGCAAATTTTGAGAAGATTAAAACTAAGTGAAATATTCCAATGGACAACTCTTCACCAGAATATCATACAGTGATATCATATCTTATACTGTAACTTTATGCTGCTGTTAATTCCAGTGAGGCGTTGGTTTCCTTGCTTGACTGCTTTTGTTTTGACTGTAATTGCTTGGAGTTTTTTTTGCTTTTGATACACTCTGCCTTTCCCAGTTCCTCTTGCTAGAAGAGGCGCTGATTCCTTACACCCTAACTGCAACTTATTCATCAGACAACATTTAAGCCAAGTTTCTGCAATAAACACCCCCAGACATGACTACATTCACTGGAGAGCAGGACTCACAACGAGCTAGGCCGCAAAAAAGTCTCCAGTGTAAGTAATAAGGACAGGAGAGTGAATTTTCATGAGTTATCAATATTTTCAATGGAAGGGAAAAAAGCATCAGCAATTTTATTTTAACACAGCAAACTGCATACATTTACCAATAGCAACTGGTGTGCTTTCTAAGTGCAGATGTGAGCCATTGTTTCAGTAAAAACTGAACAGAAGTGGCATTACCTGTCGATGAGGTAAGCAGAATTTGTATTATGTGTGCCATTGTGACAAGATGAAACAGGTGAAGATCTCCAGTGCCAAGACTGATCCCTGAAAAATCCTGACAATGTATGGCAGGGAAAGAGAGCACCAAGCTGACCTGGAAAAGAAAGCAGGTGGATTATTTTCTTTTTAAATCTTCCAATTTTCTCTATTTATGCTGCAAGTAGGCTAATTCTGAAGCGCTAATTAACCAGTCATTACTTAACAGAACAATGACTGTCTTTTTTCTTCTTAAAAACATCCAAAGTTCACATTTCTCTTCATTTAACTCACTTGCATTTACAGAAGTAAATTGCAAGAAAAAAATATCTTAAATGGTCTTAATCAGTGATAGATAAATAAATGTTGTAATGATGAATATGCTGAAAATGCTGAATTTTTTGAAAGATTCCTCACCCAGAATTCAAGTTTCCAAGGAAGTTTTTACACGGTGCCTACTGGAGCACAACACTGTTAATATATATTAAGGAATACTTACCAATAAATGAAACATGTCGATATCAAGTATGCATGGAAGGTTTCCATTTTTCTCATTAGGCACCAGTGCTAAGTATTTTAAAGAAAAAATACATTTACCAATTCAGTATTTAAATACAAAAAACATTTTAGCTTATTTCAGTTACAAAATGAGATCAATCTCCTTGGCTAATATGCTTAAAGAATTTAACATACAAATATTTTTTTTTACCAGAAATGTGAGATTTCAAGAGTTGTTCAACACTATTGTACAAGACTGTAAGCAAGTAGTACAACATTGCCTCCCATCCCTTTTTATCCTCCACATAATTGCCTACAGAGGTTGTGGATGTCCCAGCCCTGGAGGTGTTCAAGGCCAGGCTGGATGGGGCCCTGGGCAGCCTGCTCTAGCATTAAATGTAGAGCTTGGTGGCCCTGCATGTGGCAGGGGAGTTGGAGTTCATATCTTGAGGTCCCTTCCCACTCAAGTCCTTCTATGACATAGAGTCATTCATTGCAAACTTTTGCCTACTTGACTACTGTATTGAAATGATACAAAAGCAAAACAACTGCAACTAAATGCTGTCATTACTACTCTTGACAGTGCCTGTCCTTTACTGCTAGTTTTCCCACTGGGATAGAAAACGCCACAGTATTTCAACTTCTGACCACAAATAGACTCAATCAAAACACTGATCCTTGCCTGTCAGACAGCTGATCAGATGGAAGCTTCTGCAGTTTGCTCAACCTTACAAGGCTCCCTGGACTCACCTCATGTAAATCATTTCCCTTACAGAACTCAAAAACACACTGCTAAGTCTTTAATTCATTTTTTTTTTTTTATCTTTAATTAGGAAAGAGTTAAGAATTAGTTCTTCTGTCTCAGTACCATTCACAGTAACCACGAAATGTGAACTAAAGCACCCCAGATAACAAAAGTCCACACACTTAACAGATTCTAAGTACCTCCATTTAAAAGCAAGCATAAATAAAATTTCTTGAAAAGTTAAAACATATTTAAAACAACTTGGGAATAGCCACAAACATCCTTACTCTGATCAATAAAAACAGATTATAATAAGAGCTGAAAGTGCAGCTGTGAGAACAGTTCTACAGTGCAGCTGTAAGCATTAAGTTGCAAAGTATAAAAGCACTGCTACAGTAAAAAAAAAAAAATATATATATGTATTATATTATGAATAATAGAAGAATATTGAAGATATTGAAGAATATCTTAGTTGAAGACTGTTGCCCTGACGGCCAGAATATTAACAGCTCAATATTTGTGACATTTTACAGCTATTTCTACCATCAAACATTTCAGCATCGCTCAGACTTTGGATGTTCTTGCTTTCATAAGCATAACACCATGGAACTCTAACCCACATTTTTGAACAGGCTTCTATGAGAAAAACCTGACCAGATAAGGGTCTTTCAAAACAGATTTTTTTCAATAAGCTATCTTTATTTACAATTAATTCATAGAACACTGTCAGATCAAAGCCCTCCTTATTCTTTGTCTTGGAAAATAAAATATCAAGTATTGTTTTTCTGAAAAACAAAAGTAGTACAGTTGCTTATGTAACTGCACAGAGGGACTGATGGAGGGAAACAGAGCTTTAAAGAAATATAATGTCAGATTTAAATAAACAAACAAAAAAAATCAACCACCAAGCCATGTGGAACTGCTTGCTACAAAGTTCCAGTCAAATAGCTGGCAACATTCTGTTCTTCTTCCCACAGAGAAGCACTCAATCACTACTACTACAAACCAATGTGAAATAACCTCTGTCTTACAAAACTGCCCATCATTTGCAGAAGTAGGTGGCATTGATTTCACTAGTAATTTCAGTGTGGGCAGGCATGTTAAAAACCTCCCTGCTCTACTGACATTCAAAGTATCCCAGCCTTTAATACCCTTTCAGAGCAGTCCTCTCGTGTAATTATTGTTCCTCATCCTTCAGCTTTACTAAAATTCTACCCCTTAGAAAAGATACATTCCACTATGGAACCTAAAATTTTACTCTGGAATCTCACTGATGTTCAAACTAATTATTTCATTCTTAGTACTGTTATTTATCAGTAAAAAAAAAATCCTCGACTATCTAAAGAAGTCTAATTTCAGAAATGCCAGTCACCCATAACCTAAAAAAAAAAAAAAAAAAAAAAAAGCATCATATTCATCTGACTTGAACAATAGGCTGATTTCCAGACTTCTCAGCTGTATTTGTAAATGATTCAAGCCTAGAACATGTCGGATGCTTTAATCAAAATTCTCAACTAATATATAACATTGTGTATTACATCCTGCCTTATCACAAAACCTACTTTTTAAAGACAGCAAAGTTCACAGATACATTACAGACCTCAGGTAATATTGTATTTTTTTCCAATACTACAATAAACACAATTATTTAACTTTCTTTTTTTTTTTTTTAATTCCAATATAACTTTTGTATTGTGAAAGACCACACTTTTGTCTCTTTCACTCTTGAAACCTTCCAGAAGCAGCAACTGAAATCCTGGGAAAAGTCAACACAACTTCACATGATTTGCTTGAAATTCATGTTGGAACTGCAAACTAAGAGATATGATATTTTTCCTCAGTACAATGAAATATATGGGTACACAGGTGGAAATGCTGATTTGTCATTTGTAAGCATCTTTATCTTTGTGTGGGGGGAGGAGGAGAAAAATGAGGTGGCAAACTTACATGCTAAGAGAGTACAAAAGTGACCCTTTACAGCTGAAAGAGATGAGACTGTCCAGTGAGCTGCTGCAAATCTTGTTAATGATGTAAGGCAGTCATCCTTTAAATACACACAAAAAAAGATTTTCACAGTTAACTAAATTCTTCAATATGAAAAATGCCTTCTGATTTATAGCAGTCTTTTGGGCTCCTCAGCTGAAGTTTGAGGGAGCAGTCTGAGTGTTTAAGAACAACAGAGATATTGATGTTCATACAGTTATGCAAGTTTCCTTGGTATTCTTATTTTGACTGCTACAAAGAGAAATCTTGGCCTTACTGAACTGCTGTGCATCAATGAATAAAACATTTTTGTCAGTATATTTAAAAATAAATCTAAAATAGACTTTCTTAATAATTAGATACTGATTGACTAGATGGTAACATCCTGAAAAAGAAAATTACCAAAGAACTATAGCTTAAAATTTAGACATTCTGCATTAAAGAAGCGCAATTCTCTCTTTTTGTCCTGGTAGATAAAGAAATTGCTACTTAATCCTTACCTGTCGACAAGGTAAATGGCCAAATAATGGCTTATCTTCATCAGCTAGAATTCGTTCTGGGGAAGACAAGAAAATACAAAAACATTTTAATGTTGTAAATTTAACTAAATTCTGAGATCCATGTTGTAAAGGAACAAAATGAATACATTAGTACCTATGGTCTGTATTGTGTAAGCACAGCTTCCCCAGCACATTATAGGTACACGTGGATCTTCTTCATTTGGATGAACCTTCAAGCCCACTTTGTATGTTGCTGTACCAAATGTTGTCAGCATCTCCTTAATGCTTTCAGAATATGGATTCCTGAAACAAAATATTGCTAATCAATTATTTCCCCTGACAGCATAACACTTTCAATGTTGAGCATTCATCCTATACATTTATAAATTTTAAAGTATCCAGTATCTCTCTCTGCATCTCTGTATTCTTTAAACCTCTTTTCTGTGTTAGCTACATTCCTCATTACTTTTTTATTTGAGCCAGTCCCGTTCCATGGCCTTAAAAATACATAATTTTCAGTGCTAATAGTTATGAATAAATTAAATTAATTGTGGGTTAGTGATGACAAAGTCCATCAGCACCTAAGATGGGTGTCTTGCATTTTTGCGTGCAGTCTGCAGACGTGTCCATAGCACGTAAATAATTACCTTCTCTCCCCAGATGAAGAAGTGATAGAGTCAAATACAAACATAGCAATAGCTGAAATCACCCTCAATTTCCCAGACATCCTTCATGCTTTACTGTTGTGCTGAACTATCTATAATGATGACTCCTTAATCTATTTAACGGTAATAGAGGGGAAAAAAACCCACAATCTTCACACTGAAAATTATACAACTGCAGGTTCTCTCTAAATGCTCATGAACCGCATCTTCCTCTGAAATTCTATCATATAGTTTTTACTGCTTGTGGTTTGGATTCCAATATCATCATAATAGGATCAACTTTAAATAAAACAAAATTCATACTTTTCACCTGTATTATTGAGATAGCACAGAAGTCACATTCTATTTCCATATTACCATCTCATAAGAAGATTTTAAAGATTTATTCAGATGTAAATACGTACTTCGGTTTGTAATCTGGTCTAAATCCTTCAGGCAGTTGTAGTTGATCCATTTTTTCTGAACTGCCAGAATTATCTATAACAAGAAGCAATAAATTATTATTTACCTACACATAGTTTTTACATTATAAAAAGGTGCAGGAACACATCACCAGAAACTGAAATGCTAAGCTATTCTTGCCTCTTCTACACACTCTCTGAGCTCCACAGTGGTAGAACCATAATGTCAGGTCTTCTGCATGCACAACATAACATTTTCACATACAAATAGACAGTTTCTCAGACTTACTTGAACGGTCTTCATCTCGAAGTAAATATAGTGCTTTTATTTGCTGAGATATTGTTTTGATCCATTGAGTGAGGTCTGGTTGGCCTGAAAAGTCTAACCTGTCCAAAAGTAAATACAAGACGAAATGTTATTTGAAGTCAAACTACATTAAAAATTAATATTTCATAGGCATCTCTGATCTTTTGTTTCCTCAAGAGGGTCGTCCACATTTTTTTAGTCTTTTTTTTCCTGCAATTCTTGGGCCTTTCACACCATTCCAAACCACATAAAAACTAGAAAGGTCCACAGACCAAAAGAAAGAAGCAAGCAAATTGAGATTATCAAAAGAGAGAACAGTAAGCATTTCCAAAGGCAAAAAAGTAACCCAGAGAGAATTTGTTTTTCCTGAGATCATTGATAGCCTTTGGTTCAGGTGAAGTTTGGGGAGTTTTTACTTTTTTTGTTTGTTTTAAATAGTTCCCAAAAATTGCTCTGAGACCAGCAACAGCAGTGAGAGACCAAATCTGCAACTTCCAGTATCAGGATGTTGTAATAGTTTGAGTTAGCACTAAATTGCTTAAAATTAGCAATACTCATATCTCATTCATACAAGCTTATTCCACAATATTAATTAAAAAAATGCAAAACAAAAATAAACATAAAAATCAGATCTAGAACAAACGATTTTTGAATTTTTAATTTTGAAGGTAATTTTAAAGTCAAAACACTGAATTTAGTTAAGGATTGCCTGGTACGTTGAAACTCTTAAGTGGCTTTGAGGATAGTGATGTTTGAGAGGTTGTTTGTTTTTGTTTTTTATAATTGCAAAGGTGTATATAAACAAGCAAACAGACCTGTTAAACAAAACCCTTGGTGGTGGAAGCAAAGGAATAACAGTGTTGCTTAAACATTCACAAAGTGGGCAAAGGAATTCACCATTTTCTACATCGTAACTTGTGTGTACTCTTAATCTTTGTTGCCTTCGTTGCTCTTTTGCTTGGACAGCATCAAAATACCTACAGAAAACAGCAAGACATATTTGAGATGCTTTGCTATTAGCAAATTTCCTTAATACAGAAATTCATGAATACTTATGAAGACACTTGTTTTCCTTTTCCCAGACAAGCGTAAGAATTATTTGAAGGAGAAATCTCCACCCTTTCACTCATCAACTATTTGATCAGTCTAATTGCAAGCTATCCCAGTTTTTGGCAGTCACAAAATTCTGAAGTTTGTTAGACAATCACAATCACATTTAAGCTTGAACTTTACCAATATCCATTTATAAGAAGGGTGGGAAAGAAAGTTAGAAAAAATGTTGAACGATTAAAAAAAAGTCTTCAGTTTCCCATAAAATTACAGAATATTCCACAAGCGTTACCCATGGGCAAGTGGAAAAACTGGTGTTTGATCTCAGAAATGAACCAAATCCACCACTTTGCTACACACAACTGCTGCCTGAAGTCTCTAGGATAGTTTAGAGTATGCCCTACAACATCACAAAACTGGTCTGAACACAGGCAAAGGACATTTCCAGGAGTTAATGGAAACTACACAGGACTGTACATCACCTACACAGTAAGAACTGAAGAATGAACTGAAGACATCTTCAGTGAGCACATATCAAAGACTATTAGAAATGAAACTTGCATGAGAATCACTACACAGCTGCAGACACAATCTCCAGGAGTCCGACAGCCTTCACAAGTAAGGCAGAATTTGCAATGAGGCACCTGAGAAGCCACATCAAGGACCAAAGCAAGGGCCAAATAGAATTCAGAGGCTTACCAGTTCATGTTTGCCACATAGAATTGGTGATACAAAGCACATTTATCGTTATACTCTCCCACAAAAAAGAATAACTGAAAAGGTTTAACAAGGAACAAGGGATAAAGCTCACTGTGTCAAAGATAAGCTCAAACTAGGACATATGCTTCTAGTTCAAATGAAACATTACAGAAGAATTAGAAGTGCAAGGGGTGCACTGTCATTTAAAACTTCAATAAAGAGCACAAGCAGCAGCAGGAACGTGTCGATTGCTGAGCAGTAAAAAAAGAACCTGAACTTCAGAGTTCAGATATGTGTACCACAGGGCATGATGTATATGGATAAATATTCAAAAGGAATGAAAGCTGTCATGTGCAGCTTCAGATTCTCCTTCACTGAGATGAGAAAGCAAATGAAAATTATTTTAAACACGTTTACAATGTTTATAACACCATACATAATTTTTAAAGCAGTAAGCTGCTGTGATTGCTTTATGGCACTGCTTTTTAAATTTGCAACAGGATATCAGTTTTGCAATTAAATGTTGTACGAACTGTGCTATTTGGACTTAACTGAAATACAGCTTTTTACCTTTGCCAACAATGAGCATGCATAATATGGCCACAGCTACCCGTGTGTGTTCCACATGACAGATCTGGATGCATGAACAATGGGTCATGCTTTTCTGTATTCAAAATGAAACAAAAGAACATTGAAATTAACATTTATCTCAAGAGTTCACCGCAGATAAAAGATTTAACTGCATTTGCATTATAACTAAACTTGATTACAAAAGAACAATTCATTTGATGAAGCATAAAGCACACTACTAATCCACAACTGAAACTGTTTAGCTCATTCTGAATTTTTGTTTTGAGTGTATGTACTGCGCTTAGACTGGATATCAGAGGTTCTGGGCCAAAGATTTGTCTGCAGTTTTGGTGGTTTAGTTCTACTAAATAATGAGACTAAGAACATAAATCTTCAGGGTCAGAGTGCAACATGATTCAGTATGGAAATTTTTTTGTGTTTGTATATATAGAATCCAGGCATCTTTGTAATAATGCCATTAATAAAAAGGAAGCTGCTTCACAAAGGCTTTTTCTTTTTTCTTTTTCTTTTAAATCAATACTGCTAAGAAGCACTACAAATGATTTCACTGAGAAGAAGGCATACTCCTGCAAAACCACAAGGATATACCAGCACTTCTTTCCCTATAACGTTATGAGTTAGTTTAAAAATAAACATTTCTGAGCTTGGTTTATTGTTTTCAATATTTAAAAATAATTTATCAAAAATGGCTGACAGAACTCTTTTTGATAATGTTTCACAGTTATTTCATGTTATTACTTAGGACATGTAACCACCTCACTTAGAACTCAGGAGTTTTACCATTTCTTATGATGAAGTCATTCACAATTACACAGTTAAGAAGGCAACACTGCTGTGTAAAAAGAAAATGTGGTCATTACAGAAATCTGACATGCATTCATCATTATGAACACCACTTACCAGGGTCTGGAATAATTCTGTTTCTATTTTTAGACAACACAGTTGATCTCTGAATGAATGCTGCCAACACCATAGCTCTACTGTCCACTTTAACTTCTTGTTCCTCCTGACACAATATACACATAACAATCTGTCTGCGTTCAGCTACCCTAGTTTGCTCTGGCCCCAGGGCTGTGAGTTTTGCATCTGAAATTACAGGGCTAGAACATACAGAGAATATTAGTGAGTACATTATTTGGAAGATAAATATATATTTTATATATACATATATATATATATATATATATATATATATATATACACACACAGTTCAATCATGCTTCAAATGCAATATGCATTTAGCTTTATGATAAACACTCTCTGACAAAACAGTTTTGGCACATACATAACAATATTTATGTCTTCAGAAAAAAAATTATGCAAAAACATTTTTCCAGGAAAAAAAAAAAAAAGTAACCCCTCTCATTAGTAAGAGAACTGCTCCAATTCAACACAAACTGTATTTGTGACCCTCCAATACCTCTGTAACTTAATTGCCTGGAAAACACTCCACTTCCCCACAAAATCATTAACATGCTTCACTTTGTATTTCCAGCTATAAGCAAATTTTCTTTCAGGTCCTCACATGCATATAATCAGCTATTTCCTATTTACTGTGTCATTCTTTTCCGACAAGCTACAAGCTACTGGATGACTTAATACAAAACAAAATGATTTGCATGTTGATGTTAAGCACTGCAAGGATGGGAGAGATGGGAGGAATAAATTAGTATCCATCATCTTGCCAGCAAGTAAGAGAAAAGGGCTCAATTTACTGCTCCTTTCTTGGTATTTAAAAAACCCTTTTAAATACTTTTCCAAGAACACTTTTTTTTTAAAAAAAAAGCACTTTTTAAAGCAGTAACAATAGGAGAAGTGAAAAAGAAAAAACCTCCAATGAGATTTCATTACCTATTATCACGCACTCCAGAAGTTGAAGAATCCAGCTCCTCCAAAGTCTGCTGAAAGAGTTCTTTGTTCTCATTAATGAAGTGCCGCTGCATCTCAGACATCTGGGCCATTATCTTCTCTCTGCGCAGCCTCGCAATCTCAGCTTTTCGCTTCCTCTCAGCTTTGTCTTTATCACGTGAACTCTGAAATTGTATCATTCAATTAGTATTAATAATCAGTGAGCCATTTCAAAACAACGGACAACTTGCGTTAGCTGCTGCCATATGTAACTTATATCAACCCCTACGCAGTTGGAGTCCCGTAAAAAGGCAAAATAGTCTATCCAAAAATTCTGAGGGCCTCTTGTCTTTGGCTCATATTCAATGCCAGATGGAGCTGCAGATCCAGAAGAACACTTCTCCCCCACCTCAACCCTTCACCACATTTTGTATTTCTCTTCCCTTTGAGCATCATAAGATAAAAAAGGAAGTGACAGGCATCTCGTGCTGCTCTCCCTCTGTGCTAGCTGTATTCTTAATTGCACTACAGTGCTCTAAGGCCTATGTTTCTGAGACATCATGTCCAGCTAGATTAAACAGCAGAGCTCATCTGGAATGATCTGCATAGTAAAATAAATGATATCTATGTATTTTTAACCATTTTCAATGAAACTGAAATAATGAAGAAGAGTTGGATCCCCTAACTGCTGTGATCAGTGCTATAAGAAGTACTGGTAAACTCGCCTAAGATTTGGAGGCTACAGTATGTATTACAAGGTAAAAATAGACCTGAGACTCTCCTAAAAGGTCTTGCAAACAGACAAGTTTGTTTGACCTACAAGCTGTGAGACAGAACTAAAGTTGAAGAAATCACTGACGTTTGCCATCTTTGATTCAGAACTGTGATCAGAAACAGTCTGATGTTAGTCACAGTGTGGACCTGTTTCAGATCAGCTATCTGCCACAGCTTTGTTTTACCTCCTCCATAACAGTTCCTTCGCTCTCAGCCACAGGACTTGTGGAAGAACTCTCTCTTAGTTTCTTAATGGTATTAAAAGTCTGTACAAAAACAAAAACAAAACAAAATCTCTCAGTTTGTGGCATGAACATGACTGTGCAAACAACAACGCTGACCAGATAATATGCTGTCTAGGATTCCAAGAAAAAGAAAAATAAAAGGTAGACAGAATAAAACATGGAAAATAAGAAAATCATTGCAGTAGAATTAGGGAAGTTTCAACAATCTTCAGAGTTTTCATAAATCATATGAAACAGATGTACCTTCAAAATCCACCTGATCATGTCCTTGTGCACTTCCAGATGAGGTGCATTTTGCAGTGTTTCTAGCATAGCGAGTATACTAGGGGAATTATTGGGTGCCTCTCCTGGTCCTGAGAAAAAACAGAATGACAAACTCAACCCTAGCTACTATCAAAGAAAACAAAAAACCCACACCTGCATATATATTCAACAACTAAAGAATTCCTTCAACTATACATAACTTTCGCTCCCCCAGGCATTTTCCTTAATAATCTCTAAATCCTGGAAGGTTAGAGGAAATTGTCTTACAACTCTCATTCGCTAACTTTATTTACAAGACCAAATGCACCATACAAACATCTTGAATGTTTATTATCCTGGAAGCTGCTATGTCAAACTTGCAGCGCTGTATTTCCCACCTATTTGCAATTCTAGCAGTTTCATGTCTTAATAGAATTACAGGCACTAGTAAGAAGATGCAAAGAAGCATCAAATAAATTCCAATTGATCAAGAACACAGCAACAACTTTTGCAAGTGTCTGATCATGTACAGCAATCTTGGTTAAAAGTGCTACAATGTTATTAAAAATTAGATGTCATGGAAATTATTCTAATTCTGGATTTTTCTGCACAAGGGATTAAATATTGCTGCTATCAAAGGTACTATCATTGCTACATACATTTGAAATACATATAATCTGCTCAACTTTTCCTGCAAAATCTAAGAATTTTTATTTATTTATAATATTGAAAACAATTTTCTACGGATCAACAAAAATATTCTTTTAATAAGTACTGCTAGAGAAGAAGAAAATATGATGGACTGGCATTTTCTACTTAAAATTTGCTCTACTTATGAAGAGAATGGCATACTTGATATTTTCTGAGTGAAGGTAAATGTTACAACATTCTCCTCACTGAGATTCTCCAGATGCTGTTTTTCTTCTTGTAGTGCCATTCCAATCAAATGCAAAACCTAGGTAAAAATTATCAGGTTTAGTTCTTTTTTTTCCCCTCTTAAAGCATGCATAATCTCTTTACATAGTTCAGGTAATTTGTTAAAAGTGAAGGAAGTCAATACAATAAAAAAGAATCATAAATAAGAACATATTTGAAGTGATTTCTGCACAGGCTGCATTGCACCAAAGCTATATTATACAGGATTAACAGTGTGTGTTGACAAATTCCTGAAACTGTGCAGATTTACACACCTTATACCACTGCTGTCTGTATGCTCTCCTTCTAGTCAAGGGGAACACAACACTTTGGAATAAATTTCAGTATCTTCTCATATTTCTTAGCTTTAGCCTTAAAAATTGCATGCTATTATCAGAAGTTCATGCACATTTTTAATCCTTTCTAAACACATACAAAATTTAGCTGTCCAAAAGTTGAAATTTTTAAACCAAATTCCAATGTTCTATATATTGATGGTTGGATGAGAATAACTTAGAGGTCTTTTCCAACCTTAATGGCTTAGTGTTATTTTAAAGTTTTTATCATTAACTTTACTTTCAGGACTCCTTGAAATAAAAAAAAAAAGTTACTGTATTTGGCACAAAAGTAGCCTCAATGGCATTTTAAAGTGAATACACTTAAATCTCAGCGGAGTCAATCCTGAGTCAAACACTTTTTTCATCACTTACAAATTGCCAGAATGCTCTAGTACTCCAGATGTGCCACTAAGCCTTCTAAATCTACAAACAAACCAATTTAAATGGCTAAAATACATACTCATTCTTTACCATCCACACAGTATCAAATAAAGGAGCATACCCTTTGCAGCATGGACTCTGACCAGGCGTAGCCATTGTGTTCTACTGCCCACTGCAGTATCGTTCCCATAATGCACAGCATGACATCAGACTGCAGAATATTAACCAGACTTGCAAAAAGTGGGCAGAAAGGAGGCAACACTGGTGGTGGAAGTGCTGAAAAAGAAATATGAGTTTCACATTTCAGCATATTAAGTTTACAACACCCGTATCAAATATCTGACTTTCAAACAGCTTAACATTCAAACCCTGCACAGCATACAGCTGCTGGATAAAAAGTAACACAGATAGTAGGCTGTAGCATTCCATACTGCTTGCGTGCAAGGAAAGCTGAAAGAATAAACTAGCATAGATTAGAATCCTGACTACAGTCAGAAGGATAGCAGAGAAATTGCTACAACCCCACCAATATCTGGCTAATCCAAGACATGTTATTCAGGGCAATAACAGTTGCACAGGTCTTCTCTTTCCTCCCCTCTTCTCTCTAAGAAAAATACCTGTATCTTCTCTGTTCTGTCTTTTCAGCTTTCTTTGTGCTTCTTCAGCCTGAAATAGAATGACGCCAATATTACTCAAAACGTCCAGAAATATAAAACTTAGAAAAGCACTCCTATTTTCTTTGTTACACTGTTGCTGCTTCTCTCCACCTCAATCCTGCCTTAAATAAAAGGAGGAAGCTTCCAAGTCCTTTTTGTACATATTATATTCTACATGTCAACCTCTTATAAGGCCTCCATTTTTGAAATTAATCTTTCTGCTTGAGCCAACCTGGATTCTTTAGTAGCATAAAAACCATAAAACAAATTATGAAATGGTAATGTCCGTAAAGGTAAGTAAAAATACAGACTGTTAAAGCACTTTCAGTCTAACAAGACATAAGGGAACTCACAGATAAAACTCCTGAAGCCCCACTGATTTCAGCAGCTCTGTATAAGATAAAGCATCTAATGATAAAGAAATCACTGCAAAACCTGAGACAAATTCTGTCAACAGTCTCAAATGATTCAACTTTTTAAAAGTAGCAGTTGACAATATTTCCTCACAGAAGAAACATTTGTGGAAAAAAGGAAAAAAATTAAAAAGGAAACTGAAAAACAGAAGCTTGAAATTAATTACCTTTGATTGCTCTGCCCTTGAGAAGTGATAGAAATACAGATTGAAGTTCTTGGTACATTCTGGTTTTAATTCATACAGTCCTCTGCCAGTTAATCCAGGTTTCCTATCAAGAAATTTGTAAAATTTATGTTTACCAGTTATAACATTTGAGTACAAATGGTCAACTAGAAGAGCTAAAAACATTGCTCAGTGAGCACTCTAAAATGAGCGTTAAAAATGATGCACTTCAGGAAAGCCATTGGGAAAGCCCAAGGTGGAGGACAGGGAAGAGATTCACTTATTACTCATAGTAAATAAAGATTACTACTGATAGTAATCAACCTGTGTTCCTGTGAAAAGAGACAAACAGCAGCTGGGCATCGCGTTTCCATCAACACTCAAGCCTAATTCTCAGCAGTGAACATGGAAATCTCTCATATGACTTCCATGCTAGACTGCTATATTGTCATAGATAAATATTCCTTTTGAGTTAAATTTCACAGGAGAATGTCTTCCTTGCTTTCATTACTCACCAGTACCTGTTTCTTCTGCCCTCTTATTCTCAACAAATTCAATATTAATTTTAAAAGCTACAATATTAGAATAAAGGGAAACGTACTTGAAACAAGCCACTTCTTCAATCACACTTTCCATTCCCGTCTCTCTGTTCTCCTATATTGAGTCAAAATGCAAAACAGCGTGTTACTGCAGATCCTGGATTTAAATACATTCAAATAACACACAGCATTAGATGAATGAGTAAAACAGAGGGAGAATGAAGTCACTTTCATGACACTCCCAAGAATGCTAAAACACAGAATGTGAACACACGGTCAGGAATACCAGGTCTGCAAAAAGCACTTTTAAGAATACTGCATTTGTACTGTTTTTCCCCTGTCAAAATAAACTCAGAACATAACAGAAGAAAACTGAGACAGCTTACTAAGTGTATCTTAATATATAGCCACTATTTCCAGTCTCTAGGTGTTTAAAAATGATAAAGATAGAAGGAAAAGGCACTGAAAAATGATAATCATAAAAGGAGATTAAAAAAAAAAAAATCAGCTCAAATCATCTCTAAGTTCTTTCTAATAGTCCTTTCCCTTTCCCTGTACAGCTGTTAACAGGGAAAATGTATTTAAGACTGAAAATATAATTAACTACTTATTCTAGCTTAGATTAGTAGTACTAATGCAATAAGAGAATAATGTTTTAATGTTGACTTCCCTCTGAAACCACATTTAAAGACTACTCAAAAAAACTTAAAAAAAAAAAAATCATACCTTGCCATCCTTACAAAAGTACTCATACTGGAACTCAAGTAAATGCTTCTATCCATGTAAATGAAGCATTTAGGTTTCACAAGTCATTATACTGTGCCTGGTTTCATATATTTTCAGTTACTGTTAAGCTTTAAAATATGAGTTTATATTTCTGGGTAGCTCCGGCAACCCACCTGCATACATCTATATAGGATTTACAAGCAGACTGCAGAAACTGCTGACCAGATGGCCTGATAACAAAGTGCATTAAAGAGGAGAGCTGAAGAAGCTCTCAGGCTCCTGCCTATTTCACACAGCATTTCTCCTTCTACAGTGTTTTCCTACCTTCTCTATGACAGCTGTTAATCTGTTCTCGTGTTAACTTTACTCTGCAAAATCATGCTGCTTCCATTAAGCAGCATTAACTCAGAAAGTTAATTTTCACCAATTAACCTTATAAATCTGAAGGCTTTGTTTTGTTTTCCAAGTTACTCACATCTTCAGGTAATGCCTTTACTAATTCACTGTGAGCCATTGGCCTGATGCTCAGCTGATGGATGATCTCTCGTTTGATTTCATCTGTTGCATTTACCTGTCCTATCCCAGGACTGAATCTTTCTCCTAGAAAGATAAAAGAATAGTATATTTTTATTTTATTTTAGAGTATTTTCAAACATTATTCGTTCTTCCTTTGTCATTTAAAGGAAAAGACCGAAAAATAAGTTTCTGCTGTGAAATCTTGTGTTGGTCCATTCAAAAATTAATTAAATTAATGAAAAAGTCACAATGCTAAACAAAGCTAGTTTCAAGAACGACAAAGCATTCAAAGTAGAACTGAATTTGATATTCCAGACCATTAAAGAGAATCTTAAAAAATGCATTAAACATATTCTGAGCTTACCAACAATCATTATGATGAGGTACAGCATCTCCTCTATAAGAGTATTGTTTTGTTGAACAACATCCTGAATTAAAGAAAAAGAATTTACGTGTCATTTAAAGGTTAAAAAAAAAAAAAATCATATGCTGAAAATATTTTTCTGTGCTCCAAAACCTTTTTTCATCCTTAGTATTCCCCAATTTAAGTTCTGCTATAATGCAGTCACAACTGCCTTAAACTTCCTAAACAACATGAAAATCATGCAGCAGCTTCTGACACTTATCATTTTGTCATCTATAATGCTAATGCATATTTTAAACTGGCCAAACTAGATCAAAATAATTACTTTATTTTTTAATCAAGAAACTGCACAGACGTCGGGTGACAGCATTGAACATATTCTTGAAAAGAAAATCACAGATTTTCCTATGCAATCCATATATAAGATACCTTGTTAGTGTTTTCTGTGCTAAATCTCTTGCCATAGTCTGGAGTACTAAATATCTGATAAAGTTCAAAGCGGCTCAGCATTATCATCAGGAAGTGATTTGGATCCATCATAGACACACCTGTCTATTAAAGAAGAAAATGATTAGAAACAGATTCAGTGTTACTATCGAATGTTTCTATGTTCATATGCAAAGTTGACAGAATATTATTTATTAAATTCATCTCTCTCTATCCTTGGCACGGAGATTTAATTAGACTTACTCTTTTAGGACTCCAATAGTGCAACAGCACAGGTTTGAGTATGTAGGGTGCTACGACTTATTAATAATTTTTGATAGCATTTAAGTGCAAAATATTCAGGATTATTCCTTCCATCTCTAATCTAAATAAAAAACAGAGAAAGACTTTCATTTGTTTTTGTCTCTACTATTCTATTCCTGTTGATCCAACTTTTAGAAGGCATAATAAGTACCATCTATTATCACTTACTATATAGCACGTTGTTTCATAAATAAAAAGATTTTGAAATCCCGTTCTCAAAACAAGAAATAGAAGACTTTAAAGAGATTATCCAAATCTTCTGTGAAAGAATACAAACGTCTTCATCCAGCTAGACACATACCTACTTCCATTTCCAAATACTACATTCCAAAACATCATCTGTTCATTAAAAACGTATCTAATTTAGCCAATTATTTGTTCTTAGTTTAGTAAAGTTAGTGAGACCTTTTTTTAGACAGAACCGTTTCGATGTAACCACAGGATATCAACCCAAATAAGCAGATGCTGAAGATAATTAAGAATCAGGGGTAGATCAAGCCTTAGGGAAGTATGTGAGAACCCAGAAGTAAATCAGGATACATGCACTATATTGGGTATTGCCACATCTAAGAAAGATTTAAGGGCCTTGTGAAAACATTTTCCTTCTAGGTGAAGGAAGCAAGCAGCAAGTTTTAACTTTCATCCCACTCAGCATAGAAGAAACACAGACATTCCATTGTCAGAGTTAAGCTGACTGCCAGATTTGAACTTCAAGAGATTTTTCAACACAGCAAGTAAGAAGGGAGAAGAGGCAATGTATACATTCATTACATTACTGAAGAGGATTTGAAAAGTTTTTCATAGAGCTACAAACAAATACGCTTGAATCCTGAAAATGCTCCATAAAATGTAAACCAGTACACATGGTTACCTGAAGCATTATTATGTCCTTGTCAAACATCTCTCTCCTGCACTTCACATTATGATAGTAATAAATCTGGAAAAAACACCAGCAAAATAATTAACAAACGTCACATTTCATGTACATTTATTTTTATTCTAGAGAATTACACAGAGCAGTCATAGGCATGCCTTCTTCTATTTTCTCAAACTACTAACCTGCACACAGATGCCCTTTCATATCAGAAAACATCCAAAAGCAGTTGGCCGAATGTGAGCCATGCTCAAAAAAGAAAGGAATTCCAGACTGTGGGAGCCACAGTACCTAAACTAAACTCATCTCACCTCATGATGTTGGCAGCCAGTGCAATTTCACACAGATTCGTTCCTCTACCAAAACTGACATTTCAGATCTGGTAAGTGTCCATAGTAACTTGAGAGATGTTGTAATTGTATGCAACTTGAGTTGCCTTTACTTTAAATAATGACAAAGATGTCACCTTACAAGAATAGGCTTTTTTTTTTTTTTTTTTTTTTAAGACTAAAAGGCAAGCAGCAGCTTAATTCAACCCCCCAGTATGCATACACTGCAATTATCTACTGAAGGTGGGGGCTTATGGGCCAAAAGACACAAGACACACAGAGTTGGTTCTAATGTTTCTACGTGCCCTTAGGATTTCAGTTGCCTTAGAAAGGGTAATAATTTGAATGGGGTATATTTTAATATTCAAGGCACTTTTATGTAAAAGTAATGAATGCATTATCAAAGATCACAGATCTAGTTGTTGCTATCCTTGGGCAGCATACAGGAAAAAGGAACAGGGGCATTAGCTGCATTATACTTCATAGCTTCTTTATGCACAAAGCACAAAGTTCACTGAGCACCATAGCAGACTTAAAACAACAACAACAAAGCAATTTCTGACTAAGATATCAAAGATTGTACTATTTGAAAAATTGTTTTTAAGCCAAGTACTGATTTAAGTGCCTAACTCACACAAACCTTACTGAAGCTAATGCAAGTGAAATTTTAAATGGACACAAATGAGAGATTTGGGGGTCTGAAATCAATCTTGGAAATCAATCTTGGGGGAGTAATCAGAAAAGTGATTACACAGCTGCTATGTACTTACCTGATTAACAAGAGAGAAGCCATTTCTTCTCCACATCCCTGCATGCACTTGAGCACATAGAACTAAGCATCGTAGAGGATGTTCTATTAACATAGGTGGGCTAAGTTCACTCTGAGTTAAAATAAAACACAGTATTTTGATATATTAAGAGAATATAAGAGGAAATGGAACTGAAAGAAGGAAGAACGATATCTGTAATAGTTGTTTGGAGAATACAAAAGAGAAGTAAATTCAAAGTACATATTACAAAGGCTTGATGAGCCTTTTACAATCTATCTCATCAACATTAACCAGCCTCGCACAGACTTTGCCCCACAGAAGTACCCCACAAGGGTTTTTTGTTTATCCTTCAAAACAGTAAGTTTTGTATTTTAACACATCAGCTGGTCAATTCAATAACATTAACTGTATCTTCTGCTTAAAGACAAGAGGCTTCCTTTGCTGGTTACTATTTCTCCTTTTTAAATTTGTTTTGTTCTTTTTAACCTTCCATTTAAAGAAAGAGATCAGTGAGAACATGCAGGAAGGAAAACAACTGAGGAACAAAATTAGAATCCACACCAAGGAGAAGGAAATCAGGTCCTGCCAGTGGTTTCTATAAATAATTTCTACCACAAAAAGAAAGTAATGAATGAAGAACAAAATACAAACTTTCCATCAGGGTCTTGAATTATTTAAGAGAGCAATGCTGATGGCTCATGCTCCAGTTACGATTAGACAAATCGTATCTCTTAAGAGGTAATTTTATCTATCAAGGATAATCTTTGAAAACAGTATGCGTGGCCAAACAGCCCTTTCTTTTATTTAATATCATCCTACACTTATTTAAGCAATTTCATCTTCAGCACTAATTACATTTAATGAGTATGCTATGTTTAATTACATACCAGGGGTAGCAGCTCTGGAAACTTATACGCCACTTCAGTTTTACTCAACAAAACATGCAAGCCTACATGAATAAATAAAACAAATACACACATATCACATACAGCATCTAATACAATTCCAAAGAGCCAAAAAGGATCAGCTAATATACTGTCTGACCATTTTCTGGAAATAATTACAGATCTTTAACATTATTATTCTGGAGCTACACGCCTATTTCCTAAAGAGAAATACTTAGAAAACCCTACACTTTATGGAAAGGTGTATCTGTATAGAACTTGTAAAACAACTGAGTTTTGTCTTTCTTTTGCCCATATCATCTCAGTGACAGCCTGGGTTGATCAGGGCAAGTTACCAGGGACAAATATATCACCCTTGCTGTCTGCCATGAGAGGTTTATAAAATACTTCAGGATCTACAACGAGGCTCCTACAAAACACAAGGATTTTCTGGTATGTTTGCTTTAAAACTACAAGGGAGTTTGCTTACAGATTCAAAAATCAAAAGTTATTAGACTCTGGTCTGCATAATATTTTACTTTAAAAAGTCACTTAAGAAGTGCCTTTTCACTTAATTATCTGTAGATTTATTTTTTTTATCATATGACTGTATGTTCAGATTAAAACGATATTCACCTCAAAACACAACTGTGCAGCAAGTTAGACATAATACAAGTTGAAAAAACACAGTGCTTAATTTTCTGTTGACACATCCCTGATAAATCTGTTGACTAACAGAGTGTTGATTTGTCTATTCAATCTGACAGCTAAACACACTTGATAACAATCAGACAACTGCAGCCCACGTTTTGTAGCTTTTCTTTTGCACCACACAAGCTACAAAAGCAGCTGTAACTTCCTACACCCACCAGTGACAAACACAGAGACAGGAGACAACCTCCTCCAGGTCTGAGACTAACTTCTCAAATGGTTGGGAACATTTTGCCTTTAGGCCATCAAACTGCTAGAAAGTGGCTAAAATACACCCAAACTTAGGCTCTCAACAGCCGTTGTGTGGTTCATTATATCCACACAAAAGCAAATTATATTCACGCAGCATTTTCCATTTCCTGCAATCTTTTCAAGCAAGTTTATACCTGCAAGTAAACGTGAAACTGGGAGGTGAATGCTGACTTTTTCCTGGGAAACACAGTATCTGATGGTCTCCACTGAATGCCCGCACATGCTGAGAACAATAGGCTGCTCTCCATCAGTAAAGCCACTATGACACTGCATCAGCACAGCCAGGCATTTCTTGTAAGCTTCAATTAACACTTTTTCCTAAAAGAAAGAGCACAGTTCACTAAGATTATGAAAAAAGCGGAGCTCTGACAGATAGCACAGTAAACAACAAGACATCTGACAGGTGCAAATAGGCTTTGGGTTTTTATCTGTATTAACAGTTATTAACAGTCCCTACAAAACTAAGATAAGGAACTCAATACTGATCTGAGTTACTGAGGCAGACATAGACCACAAAACACATTGAGATGGCTGACCAGAAAAAAAAAGAAAACAAGCAAGCAAAAAGTTGCAAGGCTTTTGTTTTTGTAATTATGGGAACTTCCTGAAGGTTTTCATGATCATGCTAGTTTAGTCAACTTGTACATTAACTGATAGTGACAGATTAAGGCCAGATTGAATATTTAGATATTCTAGGATCACTTGTTCCACAATATATCACCATACTGAAGTTCTGAAATGCGAGAACTTGAAACATACATGCAGTAGAAATCTGACTTACAATCCTGCAGCATTACATACATCCATGGCATGTTTCTCTACACCCTGTTCTTCAATAATTATTAGTTATAACCTAACAGTGTTGTGATGATCACAATTTTTTGATGTAGAGAAAGCATACTTGCACACAGAAGATTCTGACTTATGGTGCATTACGTGTTTTGTTCACCTTGTTACGCACACTGATGTTTCTTTTACCTTCTCATGACCACCACCTCCATTACCAAATATTCACACAGAGAAAACACTTCAGAAGGAACTCACATCTAAAGCACACCAGTCCTGCATCATTGAAATAACAAGTGTTAATTTCATTTGCAATGTAAATGCTGCTTCCCATTCTGGTTCCATTTCGATGTGTTGTCCTACTTGACGGGTTATTGGATCCATACCCTTAAAGAAAAGCATTGCACATTTCAACAACATTATCACTTAAATAGCTTCACGTTTGCCTAATTGTGGTACAGCGGTTACCTATTCTTACCAACATATTGCTGCTATAACAAGAAATGAATTATATATATCAAAACAACAAGAAAAAGAAACAGGAAGCATGGGAAATAAGAATATGGATCAGGGCATTTTTCAGGTATTAGCTCTGTTAATAACACCTTCAAGTTTCTTTTCATGTTTACATACATACATTAATCATCTTAAACACTTATTTTGCTTTTTAAATGCATTTCCTAAGGACATATTAACAAATGCAGGTAAATGCTAAGCAAAGACTGAGTACCCACGCCTAATCAGATCTTGGTGTAAGAAACAAGAAAATCAACATTATGATATAGGAAAAAGTATATTCAAGAGACTGCTGTCAACAGGCTAACAAAGCTAAAACACTGAGATGGGTGTGAAGTGGCTAATGAAGTACTGAAAAAAATGTAGTTCTGATTCACGTGTTACTGATCAAACTGTAAATCTGCTTTTGTAAAAGCTGTGCTGCTTTTAAAATACTCCTCTTCAGACAAAACAGTATGTGAAAAGACTAAAAAAACCTCAGCAAAAGACACCTACTGCTATGGTACAGAAAATATATGCTTTAACACAAGGATCAATTCTGCTAACACGGAAGTAGTATCTGCATCTTTCAAAAAGATGGAAAATTAGTTAAAATGGGGCAGATTTTACTCATACAATTGAACATGTCTTGTTTGCCCATACAGCTCCTTTTGAATCACTCGTCTTTTTTTACTGCCTCTTACACAACAATAAAAAAAAAAGTTGGGTGAGACATGTTTCAGGAAAAAAACTATTCCAGAAGCTATATTGCTCTAAAATTATAAAACAGAGGGTACAATGAATCCCCTCTGTTTCTATATTATGATAGCTAACTTCTTGCTATAATCTTAACACAGTGCAAATTTTGTAACTTACAGATTTACATACCTGCATACATTTGAGTAACTCTAAGAAGGCATCAAAACCCTCTAGAAACTTGTGTCTCAAGTCTTCTGACCACTCAGTTGGCTTACTTATCAACACATACCTGAGTACATTAAAAACAGATACAAGTGTTAATTTTAATCCTGTTTTCTCTTTCCACTGATCAAATCAGCACATAGCTAATGCACTTACTTGAGATCCAGAATAAGACTTTGAACACGCCTGAATTTGAAAGCCTGCAGAGCAGTGTAACGTTCAAACTGAAACCTGCCTTGGATGTCACGGTGTCTTAAATGGTCCATAAAAGTTTTGATGATAGTGGTCATGAGATTTTCCTCTGTTATTAGCATTCGAGCCTATACCAAAAGTATACAGAAATTTGCTGTGACTAACAGGCAACTAAACAAGAATTTCACATCGCACCATCAAGTTTAAAAAAAAAAACAAACAAACACATAACATTTTATTCAAAATAGTTAAATTGATAATTAAAACAGGGGAATATACTGAAAGTCAGTCTTCCAAATATTCACAAAAGAAAAATGTATCCTGATCAGAAATTGTCATAACTCAGATCTCTCTTCAGTCCCCTTCTGTACAGAAATTTGACTATGATTAGGCTCCTGCTAACTTACGCATGTAATTATGAAAAAACATATTATTATCTTTCTTATAATTAACTTAATTAACTTGTGCCTCCCTTTAAGTATCTGTTGTCTCTTATGTAATTTAAGTATGAGCCCTTTGGGTTAGCGACAGTTGTTTTGTTTTTCTGTTTACAAAAGGCCAAGCACTATGGCAAATGGTGAGCTTTCTGAACTTCTAGGGAGCTATAAAGAGCAATTTCCACATAGAAATTACGTGAGATGACCTTCAATTCCCATTGATGGCCTCTGTGTATTTCCACACATTGCAGGAAACAAATCAAAACCCATTACAAAGTCCAGCATTGCCAGATGACAATCTGCCACACCCAGCCTAACTTAAGCCAACCCCATAACAGCGTAGGGGGTGCTAAGAAGTGACTGCCATCTCCTACTTGCAAACTCCTACAGAACTCCCTATCCTGCTGGCTCTCCAAGAAAAACTGTACCAGCCCTGCAGTTTTCAGGACCCATGATGATGTTATCTGAGTGGCTAGTATATTCAAGAAGATTGGCTCCTCTGATCTACCACAATGACACTGCAGTTGTTGACTAGAGCTTCCATGTTCTGTGGTTGCTAATGATACTCCAAATACAGACTTAAAAATGCTATCGTGAGGGAAAAATCTAGTGGTTAACGTTAAGAGTAAATTACTGTCAACACAACTAATTGTCCTTCAAACCCAGCAACCTCAGTTACTCGAGAGCTCAAAATCCAATTCTTAACATAAGTTTAAAAATATTACTGGAGGTGGTTTTAACATTCCTCAATTTATTTATTCAACTAAGAATGAATGCAAAATGGGTCAAAACCTAGAAAAAAAGAATTCTTCCCTCCTATTTTATTTTCAGGCCATCACTCTACTCTATTTTCTATAAAATTAGCCAACAATTTGCTCTACCCTTGTTTTGCATGCTTTAGAAATATTAAAAAAAAAAAAAACATGTAGAAGTAAAACAGTAATTCTCCTCCTCTAAGGAAGCATTTGAAATTCCTATGAAATATTTATACAAACATATTCTGTCACCTTATCTGTCAAATGAAAAAAAAAATTTGAATAAAACTAGTTGGATAAATGTAAGACTGAATAATGGCAATATTCTTACAGCCAGCATCAAAATTAAAAGAGTTACACAATACTGCCCTGACCCATGGAAACAAAATCCTGAGGTTTCAGATTCCCATTAATAACATCCATCTCTATGAAATTGAAAACCAACTTTGCTCAATATCATAAAATGCTATTGTAATATTGAATTTTAGAGCTCAATAAAATTTGGGAGGATTGAGAAGCATTCACTTTTGAAACATATTTAAAAAAGCGGCTATGAAAATCCAACTTTTATTTTCAGTACAGCTCCAAACATTAGTTTGTACTGCAAGCAAATAGAGACTTCTTTGGTGACTGGAGCAAAGGAGCAAAAAAAGAAGAATAAGCTCAAGAATGATGGGCGGTATTAGTGAACAGTGAAACATAACTTGAAGTGTTGTAATAAAAATTAACTGGAAACCTGAAAGAAGACACAGACCGAGACAAAAAGCATCAAAGAAGTGCAGAATATCATGAGATAATTATTGCCTGCACTTAGATTGACTAGAAAATTAAGATAAACAAAGTGGATCATTGATAAAACTGTCCCCAAAAGGTACGCTCTGAAACTGTGATAAGCAAATCACAATGTAGATTTTTACAAACAGAAGCCACTAATTGTTATGAAGAGAAATGTAAATGTTGTGTGTCTCTGAATAAGCACTGAATACACAAAACACAATCCTAAAATATCCAGCCCACTCTGGGAAGTCAGATTCGATCTCTCCAGTGCAAAACTTCTTTAACTTCTAAACCCATAGTAATGTATGTAAACAGACTGACTCACGTGCAGTAGCAGTGCCCCACATTTCGACAGAAATCTGTGGTCTGGATCAAGAATCTCAAGTGGCTTTCAACAAACAAAGATTTCCTTTCTTGGTCTTTTAGTACTTACAAGAGAAGGCACTGTGAATATCTGTATCGAGAGGTCAGCAATTGAGAACTCTCTGTCGTGGTCATCTTTCATAAAATCACTCTGCAATCGCTCATAGTTCTATTAAGAAGGAGGCAAAAAGAGGCAAGGAGTGCCAACTATCAGTTTTAAAAAGAAAGACAGGCACTACTCACCAGAGTAGGTACAGTGAAGAGTTGGACAGACAGAGCAGCCACCGACACTGCTCGTTCGTGATCATCCTCCATATAATCTCTCTGCAACTGCCGGTAATTCTAAACAACAAGGGGAAATTCACCTCTAATCCACACTGACCTGATTTTTTAATTTAAATGTCTGCTCTGGGAAATTTTAATTCCACGATAAAGGGAAGAGTAGCTCTTACAGATCGTTATATTAATTCTTTGTACAAAAACCATAATTTATCAGCTCACAAGTGAGAACTGCTCACTCGTTTTCACAACAAAGGCTAATATTTTATTTCTTACACGCACACACACGCACACACACACACAAACTTGTCTTCAGCAGAGCAAGCTGAATTTTGCATTGGTGATTTAAAGCATTTCAAGTACTACTTACTGCAGAAATACCAATCAGCATAACTGAATTCCAGCACAATTTTTTTTGGAGTGCTGTAAGAGATTATGCCTCAGCAATGAGATGCAATTAGCTCTCAAGAAGAAGAGCCTGTATAGTTGATGGTAAAGACAAAACACGTGAACTACTTTAGATCTGGGGAACTTGGAGAGTTTACCTTCTCACCAGACGAGATGCCATTTCAACTAATATTTTGAAGACAGAAATACAATGTTGGCATTTCAACTTCCTACATTCAAAAAAATAATTCTGGCAACAGTTTATTTGAAATTCTACACGCTAACTAAACTCTTCACTAGAATGTTTAGGCATTTAATAGCTCTTTTAATAAAGATACTTACTCTTGCAAAACGGATAGCAAAAAGCTTCTTATATTTCAAGTCCATAAGTAGACTGCTCATGAATAACTGGTGATACACATTTCTAGCTCCTGTCAAGAAAAAATGAATGATATACGTCAGTATTTTCTAACAATTTACTACAGAATCATTTAGAAATATAAACTTCTACAGAATGAAGCATATCTGCAGTTCAGAGCAGAAGATGCTCTGACCAAGTCTCTCAGGTGGGAGAAGAACAAAAGAAAAAAGGAAGAACACAGAAAATGAAATGCTTCAAGCGGCATTATTTATGACTCCTCAAATAATACTGTCAAATAATACTCAGCTGCTAACCGAGAAAATAAACCAAGCGTAAGGCAAGTCAGGAAAACAAGAATGAAACTACTCAGAACAAACAGGATCTGGATGGCCTGAGGGGAGCCAAAGGGAAGCAGCTACATGTAAAGTCCTGGGAAACGCAATAAATTTTGTCAGCTGAAACAGCTCCACTGAAAAAAAACAAACAACTTGTCTAGCTCTGAATTTCTAATTTGTGTCTGAGCAGCATCCCAGAAAGTACTATCAATAGCAATAAGAATTAACAGCATGTAGCTTAGAAACACATAAGCATGTTTATATTTCATTCTTTAGGTCATTCAAGTCAAAAGTCATTCAATTATTTTCTCAATACAGAGTAACTATGAAAAACAAGAAGTAGAGAAATATTAATCTTGAAATAAAAATGTAAAAGTTGCAAATTACGTCCTCTTCACATGATAGAAGTTATCCTAACAAATTAGGAAATCACATCACTAACATATTACAGTAAAAATGACCACACATGTGGTAAGGGAAGAACATCATGTATAACATTCCTCAGCATTCTCCAAAAGCTTGAAATAAATAAATAAATAAATAAATAAAAAAATCTCACCTTTCCACAGTTTAGAATCATACAACATCAGCTTATCCACAAGAGAAGAATTTTCCCCATCCGGTCCCTCCTGCAAACCAACCTGACACAATACTCGACGAAGGCCATCTTAATGAAGAGAAATGATAGAAGTTAGTAACAGCTTCAACACAAAACTTGTTATTTTGATACACCAGAGTTCTCATAAGACACAACAGAAGACACCTGATCCTATTTTCTTGACAACCAGATAGTGTTTCCTATTTTGCTGATAGAAACACAAATATTTGATACCTTGCATGTCCAGTACCAGCCTTATGGAACATAAGTGAACCTTATGAAAACTACCAGAGTGATTTGTTTCAAAGTTATCAAATAAAAGTGTGCTCCTTAGAAATGGTTCTAGCTTACAAATATAAATACTCATGTATCAGGCTAATTTTAGGGTCTTTTTTTTTTTTTTTTTTCCTCAGAGTCCTACCAAAACTAAAAGTTCACATGATATATGACAGTTTTTTCTGCATACTTACTACCCACTATTGTAGTAAACCTTCTCTATTGTTTTGCTTTTTTTTTTTTTCAAATGGAAAGTAATAATTGCATATTATATAATTGTCAAACAATTATACATAAACAAATATATAAACAAGTTATACTGAATCTTCAACATAACACAGACACTCATATGCTCAACCCAGCTGCTGACTGCAAGAAACATACTCACTAACAAAATAGTATGGCTTCTAAGTCTTAAGCCACCATCTCCACATCCTGCTGAGACACTTCAGCTTCTCAGGTAGAGTTGGCAGTGGCTCAGTGCCATGCATAGCATCCCATGCACTACACAGTACATTCCATACAGTTTGTGAACCCCTATAGCAAGGTCGTGTCTCCATACACAATATAGTTCTGTTTGACCTATATTATATGACTCCATGCCAAGGTCCAAAGGCAATTTGAGCAGTTGAACACAGAGGTCACAGACAAAACATATACGTACTGCTTACTGAATAACATTATGCTTCAGAAGGGCAAAACTAAAGTACAGTAGATTCAATGATTCTGAAATTCTGCAGAGTTCCCTTCACATACACTCAAACTATAAATTCTATGCTTCCATGTGCAGTTTGGTATTTTACTTTCATTAATGCAATCACGTCACTCTTTTGCTGTTGCAACTCGGTATTAAAATTAGTCACTGGTACCTGGCACAAAAAACATGGCACAGAACTGGGCTCAAAGAAATGAGAAATACAATGCTTGTCAACAGGTTAAATCAGAAGGACAAAAAAAATTTAAAGGTAAATATCTCAGTCTCCCTATTTATATCAATTATTCACCAGCAAATATGTTGTTTGCCATCAACACTAGCAAGTACTTGAACAAACTTCTACAATAATTTTCCAAAAGTTTGATTTACGCATCTTAAAAATAAGCTTAGACAAACTACTTGTCTATCAAAAATAGCATAGATGGGATAGAAAGATCCCATGCTTGGAATTTTGCCTTTTATTTTCCAAGTGACAGTGTAATACATAATCTGAGAACCTACACAGAAGAATTCACGCATCACATTACAGTTGACAGTGCTCCGCTGTTAATTCTTGTTAACACTCACAGATCCATAAAACACAGTGTGCTGGGGACTGTGCCTACATCTATATGCACTGGGAGTTTGTGGTAGCTTGATGCATTTTCCATTTATTTCCACTTATGCTCTGCATCCTCACAACTGTAATTCATCAAGACAACAGAAGAAACACACCAGAAAAAAAACACAGTCCCCCCCAAAAAAGTGCTGATGTGCATCTTTTTTTTTTTTACTGTGCATTCTGTTTCTTTGAAGAAACCTCTTTCTAAATATCTAATTAATACTTCATTGGTTCCTATACTTATCCTAAAGCACCCCCCCACGCTTTCTCTGTTGTTCTACTTACACAGCAACAAACCTGAGGCAACCACTTTCATCACCATCAAATGACTTCAGATTAATTCTGTACTGTCTAAGTAGAGGGTTATTTTCAGTTTACTGCATTCATTTGAAAAGAACTAGGGACTGAAAAATAGCTAGTTGGCTTGCAGCATTTGACAATGGTTCCCAGCTTCTGTTCAGCAACAACTAAACAGAAAACAGTATGTGGATAGAGCCTGACAAGATATTAATTGCTTTATCTTAAACACTGCATATCTGAAATAAGAAGGCGGCATTATGAAGAAAGCTGAATTCCTGAAGCAAATATTCTCTAGGCTTTCAAAATAGTTCAAGTTTGCCCACCTGAATATCCAATAACACTGCCAAGCCAAGTTAGGAGCTTCAGACCAAAGCTCTGATGGGCAACAATAGATGAATGCATAACCTGTACTTTCAATGGCTTTGTCTGACGACTGGTATTTCTCTTAAAAAAAAGAAAAAAAGAGTTAATGCTTTTTTAATGAGGGCTAGCACACATTATTGTACAGAAACACAGCATTCCTATGATTAATTTCAATAACTTGTAATATTAATCCATATTCCAATGACTAACAACTAAATGGAGAAGTAAAAAATCTCAACCTTGTTTATCCTGTTAGTATTTGTATGACAATATTATGCAATAACAACATATTTAGGCCAGTTCATTTTCCACTTTCTTCCTCTTATCAACATGCACATGGGCCTACTGCATTTTGCTGATAAGCAGTCTCACAGTCTAAAACAACTGCACACATCAATTCCTCACAACAAGACATGCAACTCACACAGCAGCCCATCAAAAAAGAAACTTATCATCCACAGACTGTTTTCAAAAATGAAAAACAAGCAGAATTAGAAACAAGAAAGAATATCTCCTCATGTGGTAGTAACCTTAAGTTAGACATTAGACCTTACACACAAGTCATTTTTTCTTCAACTGCATAGGTGGCAAGTTAAATAAATTGCTTAATAATCTTTAAAGAGACTTTAATATTTTCAAAATACCTTCAAAATAGTTTGTCTAGTAAATCTAGTTGCAGTATCTCTTTTTCAGCAGTAGGAGCATTATGCAAGTTGTTGCACATAGTGAAGAACCCCAGTGCTTAAACCCTTGTTGTTACATGGAAGGATCCCATGATACGTATTAAGGATATACACACATTCCCCAATATATGCAAAAATGTAAATGTAGTTTTGCTCTTGGACTCAATCCCTTGGTTACAATTTCAGTGGTTGGGGCTACCATAAAAAGACAAACAATTTGATACTACAGGGGAAAAGTAGTTTAACCTCACTGATCTGAACTGATACGTTACCCTACAAAACTACATTTTAAGTTTCTAACTGTTTTCTGAGGCAAAAGTTGCCTAGTAACTTACCGGAAAACGATTTTAGGTGCAAGCTAGGCTACAGGAAAAAAGCAAGAACATGGCATAAAACTACATTTTGTAACCTATCCCACATGTATTGTAGGGTTTCCAATATTTTGTATTATATAACAGAGTCATAGTAGTAACAGTACCACAAAACTCTGTACAAAACCATCTTTCAGCTAGATGAGGAAAATAGGTAGGTATTACTTACCACAATTACTGATTTTGCTTGATCACAGTACTGAAAGTCTCCATATCGGACAGACCTACGGCCCTTTAAATTTGTGAGAAAGTAACATTACCACCAGTTTCTAAGCAAGAAGTCCAAATGCAGTGTTTTACATTAATATAAAAGACGTAGGAAGAGTTTTATGTGCAAGAACTAACAGTTCTCATTTTAACATCATTTTCATTTTCTGAAAGTGCTACATATAGTCAGATATTTGAGTTTCCAAAATGAATACAGTACTTTAAAAAAAAAAAAAATTAAGCTATGCCATATATGCAATTCCATGTAAACAAAATTTTCTGTGTATATTAATTAGCCATTTTAAGGCACAGCTATTATTTTTTACTTATCAAATATCAAATACTCAATCATAGTATTTTTCTTAAAATTTAAATATTTCAGATATTTCAGCACTTTTTAAAAAGCAGAGCTCCCACTGCCATCTTGGAAGAGATGCTCCTTGTTCCACTCCCTCCAAAAAAGAGGCATAAGGAATCAAAGCAATGTAAAAGGACACATTTTCACAGCAACAGACTTATGTCACAAGTAACAAGGTGCAGCTGTCCCTAGAAAGTTACCCAGAAGAAAAGATGCTCTTTCTTAAAAACAATGATTATAATCACATGAGCCAGAAGACAAATGCAGCTGGGAGAGTGTTCTTGAGATCAACATACTAATTAAAATTATACTCAGCACGTAATTTTTCTCAACTCATTGTTCTTTTTAAGTGCTGCATAAAATGCTTTACATCTTCCTGCCATTATCATCTAACAATTATGAAAAAGGAAAATTAGATTTAAAAACCACAAACAGTTCCACGAGCACAGGAACAAAAGCAACCAATTCAGGATTTTTTTTGTCTCAGTTGACAGCTGTTACTTCCTCCCCTTGTTTGAAGGGAGCACAGAGGATCTTCCAGCGTAAACTCCCTGGTGTGTAGTAAGCAATGAGCTAAAGCTGCTGCCTGCCCTAGACAGAAAGGGCTAAGAAACACCCTGGTATCTGTGCTCATGAGACTTACTAGAACTATGCTGAAAAATATATTCAAACGTAATTTGGCTTGGTCAGTTAGTTAGGGCCTGACACATGTGGCTTAATCACATTAACTATACACTTTGAGAAAACAAACCAAAGTATGTGTAGTCATAAAATAAATGTTAGTGTGAGTATAAGTTCTAGAAAGGAATTTACTTACATCTCTATCTACTGTTGTTGCAAAACCAATAGCTTCCTTCTGTGTGCAGTTGACAGCTTTCTGAAGAGTATAAATAACTTGTTCATAGGTGTGGACTTCATCATTAAAGAGCATGCAGTAGTAAGTGTCACTCTTCTCACTTCAAAGCAAGCAATGAATTTACATAATTCAAAGTTAAAAACTATCAAAGTTACATAATTCAAATTTAAAAGATCAACTCCCGATTTAACAATTAAGTTTTCCACCAAGCTGGCAACTCAAACCTGGGCTTCCTTTGCTACAGAGTTTTACTTAACAAGGACTGAACATCTCAGTTCTGCTGGAAAGTTGCATGCTCCTAAGGAAGATAAGTCCAAAAGGAACAAAATCATAAGACAAAACTTAGGTCTGAGTATCACATTTGAACATCCGTTGATTCTGAATTGATAGTTTCCTACAAGGAGAACTCATTTCCTTACAGAACAGCCCTGCTCAATACATTCTCACATAGCATCTTAGAAGTTTCAATGGCTTGGAATTATTTTACCATTTGTCCTAAGGAATTTCATTGTAATAATTTATTTCCAAAGTGAGGAAAACAAAGGTATCACAAAAATTATTTCACCATCCTTATAGAAAGAAATGGGATGTATATCACACCAATTAAAGACAGGCAATTATTTTAGTGTACTGTCTACAAAATATCCCTGACACAATTTTAGGAGAGAGATAACAGGATTAAAGAAAGAATCTATATTTCTATTGTAAATATGTACATGTCTTTAAAAGGAAAAGGACAAACACTATACTTACGTCATTTCTAGGCCAGGCAATTCATTTTCTTTTTCCCATGTTAATATGTCTACCGCATATTTAAAGGTGATAGCAAAAATATTATAAGCTCTTGCCACCATATCTTCTGGTAAGTGCACAAGAGGATCCTGAAAAAATAAACGGGAATTGAGAAATTCAGAACAGGTATTTTAAAAAATCTGCATGCCTTTGCACCAAAGATGATGCAAGCATCCTTAATGGTGTCTTCCCTAAAATAACTTCCTGCTTGAAAGGAACAGTTAATAGTTGGCTTGTTTTCTTTTCCCCACTCTTCACAGAAAAAAAAATTAAAAAAAAGATCAGCAAAGCAGTAATCTAGCATTCAATGTCCAAACATTAACTTGCCTCTGATCACTCAATTAAATTTTCACACTTCTATATTTTCACTTTAATCGTTCCCTCTTTCAACACGAGTTGAATTAGAACCCGCTTCTTCCACAATGTATTCAGAAACCATAATTAGAAATAACGGCTTTGTTCCACTTAATTAAATGCAGAATACAAATAAATATGCATTTATTGCTTTCTTCCATATGTACTATGCCTTTAGAGGCAGAAGTCCTATGTACCAAGATTCTACAAACAGCACGTGCAGGGATCATGAGTTATGATGAGTCTCTTACACGCAACAGTAGGATCTGCTCACATGTCAGTCTTATTCACAGACATCTATTCATCTTTTGCATGGAAAACACACATTCACTTGTGTCCATTCTGCACTCTCAAGGCTAAGCTCCACTTGTTGCCAGGGCACACACACTGCTGACTCACAATTCAACTTGCTGTTAACCAGAACCCCCAGATCCCTTCCAGCAGGGTCGCTCACCCCAAAATCTGTATGTGTACTCAGAGATACATGCTAAGGAAACTGAAATGAAGAGGAGGGAGTGCTGCCTCAGTTGGCAAATGGAGCAGAAAAAGAGAACCATTATGAAGTCACACTCATAGTTTCCTTCCCGTGACAGCTCTAGTAAGTTCAATCCTCTGTCAACTAGTACAAGCAACATTACCATTCCCTTCCAAATCATTTCATGGGATTTGCTTATAAACAGACATCAACAACCTCTTCTCTGAGGAGCTTTTTCTTTTACTACTTCACATAAGATGTTATAAATAAAAGCAGACCAAAACACAATCATCAGCTCTCAAAGTTTAGATTCTCTAAACAGCTGCTGTTTCTTCTACAAGTCTGGAAAAGGAACACTGAAACACTCTATTCTTCTAACACTATCAGAGTAGCACAACTTGCATTCTAGGAATACATAGAAGCAAATTCTGTGCTTCACTAAAGTTTATCAAACCATACACAATAATCTCTTCTGAACAAGTCTGCATTACTTACAGAAAGCTCTTGATAGTTAGGAATTCACCTGCACTGTGAATTATATACTCTACCTATACTGTAAATTATATTCATACTGTAAAAAAAAAAAAAAAAAAAAAAAAAAAAAAAAAAAAGTGTATTTATACTGCAAACCTGTCAAGTTTTTTCAGCCATCCACACAATCCAACATTCTTTTCAAATACTTGCAACCACAAAATCATAATATCATTTGGACTGGAAGAGACCTTTAAAGGTCATCCAGTCCAAGTCCCCTGTAATGAACAGGGACACCTACAGCTAGATCAGGTTTCTCAGAGCCTGGTCCAACCTGATCTTGAATGTCTCCATGGACAGGTCATCCACCTCCTCTCTGGGCAAACTGTTCTACTGCTGGAAGTTTTACAGAAACATTAATATCTGCCATTTCTGGGTTTTGATTCATTTAAAATGTATCTAGGGCATGCAGAGTAATCAATCACCAAAAGCAAAGGCAAACCTTACACAGCTGCACTGCCATTCCCAGCACTTTCAAAAAGACACATATCTGTGCAAAAAGAAAACAGGCTACAGCACTGCTCAGCACATGTTGTCCCCCACACACAAAGTTAAATAAGCACTCTGGATCCCATCATTTACCAAGAAGAAACACACAATCTGCTCAGAACCTTAGCTTTTTCACCATTCACAATACTGCCACCTTTAACTACCATAAGTATCTTTAAACATAGCACTAGTTCACCCAGGATTTCAGAATATCAGTATTCCAATGCTGTCCCGTAACGTAAGCTGCATGTAGACCAAGTAGCAAGGCCACAGGGCAATTTCTAAGCACTGAGACAGTGAGGACAAATTTTACAACTGTTGTCACTGCAATTCAGTTAGGGTTGTTTCACTTAAACCAAGAGATCAGCAAAATTAGTACAGACAGTCTTCTTATATATACTCTTCAAAAGAGATTTCACAAATTATATTACATAAAAACAGCTCTAAGTGGCCAGACGAGAAGTCCAACTAGCTGCCATCATTCCTGAGATGTAATAAGAGATAGTTAGGAAAGAGTAAAGGGCAGAATACTCCTTTGGTCTTCAGTAACTTAAGACATGAAGATTTCTCAAGCTAAAGATGGTGTCTGTAATTTTACGTAGCTATCAATCATTTCCTCCTCCTCAAACACGCAAAATAGCCTCCTGAACCAATATAAATTTTTAGCAAGACCAGTCTTTCAAAGCATTAAGTTCAACAACTGGAATTCATATCACATTGTTTTTGCTAGCTTCATTCAATATATCCAAGTTGTTAAGCTATAAGAAATAGTGACCTTCCTTATTTACCTTCTCCATACCAAACTTCTAGCATTTAGAGATTCTATCCAATAACTCCATTAGGGCATTTTGGATTCTCATGTTTTTAATCTGAGCAAAGCTTTATCATTCCAATTATGGCATTTCTGCAATGGCAGTTATTTTGATTAAAAAGAACTAAATCTGTCTACTTTACTTTGTAAGAATCAGAACATATGTTGTACAGATAGCTTAACTTGGCTTTTTCAAGCATATGATTGCATACAGATTTTTTCACATTGAAGATTTCCTTTACCTTTCAGAAAAGAAAACAGAACCTAAGCTGCACAGGTGCCTAAGAATATAAAAAATAAAGTCCTCAAGTAGAAAATGTCACTCTAAGCATCTCTAAGTTTATGCTGCTCATCTGAATGATTTCCCATATGCACAGGCATACACACACACACACACACACACACACACACACATACACACAGTTAACAGTATTTCAAAACGCAGTGTCTCCACCTCTTCTTCTGCAGTCTCTGAAGTGTTAAGTTCATGCTTCTGACAGTAAGGACCTTCTTTCCAAGCTTCAGTATCACCACAGTCACAGAAACCTCCTCCACCCGATGTTGTCATCTATAATTATTCAAAACCAACATAGTTTATGTGAATATGCATATAAACATACAGGTGCATTCACACAAGTAGTCATGGCTAAACTACAAAATGAAGATCACAATATCCAATAGCTTTTTCCAGTACCTCATTTAAAAAAAGCACGTAAATGAAGCTCGTTTCTATGATGACTGAAAACTTCATCAATCTGCCTATGCTGAAAAGTTCAAACATCTCTATTCTCCATGGCTGTGCAGAATTAATGTGCAGTTTATGACAACACAATTGCAACGTGTAGTTTTTCTCAATTCATTAGCTGTAATGCTACCTTTCTGATTTTGGATTCTCATGTTTTTAATCTGAGCAAAGCTTTATCATTCCAAACAGCACAATTACAGAGCGAGGTGCAGATGTGCTAGTTATAATAACAGCAGTTCTCAGAAAAACCTCATAGACTGTTCACGTTGTAAACCTTCATGAATACAGTAAACAGTACATGAATACTGCAATGGTTAAATACACTTAGTTTTAATAAGCTTTGATTTTAAAGCAAATATCAGCTCAAATAAATAAATTTGATGCTCTTTAAATAACAACAAACAAACGATCCATATAAAAATCCTTTATTCACCTGCATGTGGCAGAGAAATATAATCTATACATACAGGCACATCCTACAGTCTCAACTAAATTAGACAGCTGAAATAGCATGTGCTTACACTTTGGATACAGAGGTTTATCAATACCTTCCAAAAATAAAAATAGTAAAACATCAAGTTCAAAGCAAGTGAAAATGAAGACTAATGCTGTAGAACTCTCTGAAGAACACACATTCAAAATAACACACTCCTATTTGTAAAGTTAACTGTTGTGCATAAAATTGAATTGCTCAACATTTTAGAATGATAACTTCAGAATTTACGCTCAAATAAAAACACTCAAGTTCCTGTAAGATTATTGCACAGACTTGATTCTAAACTTTTGGGTATCCAACATTTTGAAATTACGCATACATTCTTAAGCTATAAATAAGGAGTTTCTCACACATACAGAAATACTAATGACTACATCACACATCCCACCAGTATTACTTACCCTGTATCGGTGCTCTCTATGAATACTTCCAAGAAAGCACTCCATGCACAACACACAAGTTGGGTCTACTGCACAGTCTCTGAAAACAGCAGGAGGAAAAAAAAAAAAAAAAACAGCATTAAACAATTTTTAGCCTTGAATTGTCTACAAGAAGTAATTTTTAAGTATCACCAGTATGAGCCTTTTGACTACTGTCTATGTTACTCAAAGACAAAAGGGATAGGTTCCAGGGTGGGGGAAGAAATTAAATGAAAGTGCCTGTTCTCAAAAAGGAGAGGTTACAAAAATGTTGAGTAACACAGTAACATAGTCACTGTTTTCCAAGAGATGAGACAAGTATATAAGCAAGTGAAAAGATGAATTACAAATGCAGTACAGACAGATACACAATACAAAGCCAAATAAATTTTCTCAAGTACAGAGTACAAGCGCTACATCTTCAGCTATCAGAGAAGACACTATTTTTCTGTACACTGGAAAGAAAGACAGCACTCAACAAACTAGATCTGCTTCTAAGTTTAGTCCTACAAACTTACTAAGCAGGTCCAAAAGAGCGATTTCCTCAATCAGAGAATTGAAGAGCATAATAAAGCCCTGTCTACAAGCACTGTTGTATTAGATAGAAGCAAGGGGCTAAAACAGTGAAGCATACAATCACGCATTGCGTTTAACTGTCTCCCTAGGAAGCACTGAAAATACATGAAGGCAATTAATTTCAAGGCACCTTGAGATTAAGGGACTCAATTCTGCAGTGTAAAAACAACCACCCAGAGAATGAATATTATGACAGTTACTTTAAAAACAAGAATTCAATGAAATAACTTATGTTCATGAACTCAGAAAAGTTTAACTCTTATTATTGCTTATTATCAGCTGTAAATCAAAGAAAATTGCTAAAATACAACAGAAAACAGTACCAGTTTTACATATTTGTCCAGTACTTAAATGAAAGAAGATAAGACTCCATCTTGACAGCAGAAACATAAAAATATTCTGCATTTACTCCTGACCCCAACTTAACAGCACTCCCATAGTTTTCATCAGCCCATAAGAGCATTTAATCATTAACATCTTACTTCCTAGACTTCAGTGCAATTTAACTTGAATTAGAAGGGACCACACTTCACAAAAAAGTGCTAAAGAAACCACAGAAATTCCTTTAGAAGTACTAATAGATATTAGTCCCTGTCTCTACTTCACTACCTAGATTTCTTCATTCTTTTTTGAGGGTGTGAAGAAAACACCTAAGAACATCTAAGAAAAAAGGAGTTTTCTCCCTGATCGAAGAGATCTAACATACCCCCCATTAAATCTCATCTACCTCAAGCTGAGAGGCCTTAAAACACTTCTGACATTATACACTTGAATTACATGACATGCAGCTGCCCACTTATTTCTGATTAATGCTCTTAAATCACACTGACAGTTCACCTGAACTACTTTTGTATTCTTGTATTACTTTCGTACAGAAAACAGTCTACAAGATATTAATATATTTTTCCATTTACAAACCTGTAGTATGTTATTTTTGCCTGGTCCCACTTCTCATGAGAAACGACTGCAAGTTTACTTTAAAAATACACTGGAGGTAGTAAGTTTTCACTAGGATAATAAATTCCTATCACCTAAACTTGTTCTGTTCTTCACAGATCAGAAATGCTCAAAATGTTAATTTGAACTACCTGCAGGAATACGTAGGTTCTCCCACTTTAAAAACGCGACCACAGAGATGGGAAGGTTTGTTTGCTTGCTCCAGCTTTGGAAAACCAAATGCAGGATCTTCGCCACAAAGATACCATTCCATTGGTCCCAGCAACACATGTTGTGCCAGCATGTCTTCTCTCTGTGGGGCAGGGTTAGGACCCCTGCAGTAAATTTTTGGTACATAGTAGGCCAGATGCTGGTACACTTCCTTCTGAAGCTCATTTGCTTGCAGCCATTTCTTTTAAAATAAAAAGAAACAGTAAGCAATTCACACATTAATAAAAACACAAACCACAGTTCTACCCATCAGAAAGCTTTTTCCTATTTCTAACTTATAAAACTAAGGCGGTATTACAAAACCCCAAGTGTTAAATCTAGAAGATTACATGAGAAAGCCATTCCGAAAGGCATCATCTGTTTATTAGTACACACATTTTATCCTTTTGACATATTGTGTTCTTTTAAAAAATGTAAGATTTAAGAGACCAAATTTTTAAACATTTTCATGACCGGTGAAAAGTTCCAACGTTAGCAGTGACTTTTAGAGCACGCTGGCTGTATTTACATGGAGTGCAGATGGACGCTGCCAGCTGGGGACACAGAGGCACAGCAGAAGCCTGGAGATGGAAAGAGGCAGGCAGAGACAAAAAGCCCAAGGAGACTGGCAAGCGCAGCACTGGGTAACTGTCCAGCTCTCATTTAATTACAACGAGCCAACTAAGAAAATAAAGGAGTTTGGGTTTCTCCCACGACCAAAATAACTTACCTGAATGACTATTTCAAGCATAATGATCTATGACTCTTAGTAGTCAATCAGTTAAAAAAAATAATCTGTGCTGACAGATTTTAAAAGCCACACTGTTGTATGCGCTGTAACCCACTGAGAAATCCATGATTTTCTCTAGTTTTGTCCCTCTGTGCATCACAGCTCTTTCTTGGCTTTTTTCTCCCCCTGAACATACACATGCACAAAGAATAAAAAATATTCCCCAAAGACATCATTTGTATTACTCCTCGTGGATTACATTTTTATGAAGGTCTAAATTGGAAACGAAGGCTGCGAGGCTTTTGAAATAAATAAACGGGAAGAGTATTTCCTGCAAGTGTGCCCTTATTAAATCTTGCATGATCTAAACAGCCTTAGCATGCCATTTCTCATTGTAAATACGACAATCAGATTTCCCTAGGCGATTTCAGATAAAGAATTCAGAATCAACCTGAAACAGCACATGAAAAGCAAGAATTAATTATACCAAAATAAATGGCTCGCACAATCAAATGCTGTAGCTTGATTAACTCTGAATTACTTAGAAGAACCCTTAAGAAGTCACGTTTGAGACAACACAGTTCTAAGTTCACAATATGAAGGTCAGCAGAGCATCTGGGCTATTTAAGGTGGTTGTGTTGTTCTTTTCTGGTTTTGTATGTCCTTCCTTGATTTTAACATATTGCAATGTTTCCATTTACTAAACTGCTTTTTTTTTTTGTGATGCAGAACTTCAAATAAATAACTCATATGTCAACATAGCTCTTAGTATACTTTTCTCAGTTCCCTTTTCTTCAATTTGAGTCCTTAAAATCATAACCAATCTATTAAATCTGTCTGTATAGATCTTGCAATGGTCAAAGCCAGGACTTTTTTCCAGGATTTTTTCCAAGTCAGTCCATGGGAAAAGGTTGCAAACAAAATCTAGCCATCTGAAAGTTTACATAGCGATTCTGTGTTTCAGCATTACCACAAAGATACAGACAATACTGAAAAAAAGAAAAAAAAAAAAAAAAAAAAAAAAAAAAGGTTTAATTGCCAAGGATTTGATTTTTTTCCCTATCTCGTGACTATTATCCTCTTCTTTCATCATTTGTGCCAAATATCTACTACTGTTAGGAAATGACACAATCACGCTGCAACTGACTTAGCCTCTTCCATGACTCCTATTCAACAAGATCATTTTCAATGATTTTCCATAGCATGTATTAGTAATTACACTTGCGTTTTTCTCAGCAAAGTATGCTTAATTACAGCCGTTTAGTACTACATCACTAATTTATGTCTAGAAAACTATATGATGCACATTAGTTACACTCAAGCAAGCTCAGACAAATACCTGGCCAGAAAAATATCTTGTTCCCTGAGTAAACGGCTTTCCCATCCCCAAAACTCTGGGAATAATTGCCTGCAAGTTAGATGTGGCAATGCTAAATATCATCACACCTAAATCTCTCTGTGGATCCAGATTTATAGACAAAACTGCACAGACATTTTTGAATATCAGATCCCAGCCAAAAGACTAGCAGAGGAAGATGGTACGGACTTACTAGGACATAGACACAAGAGCCACTCCAAGAGCTCCAGAAGGCAATGTAAAATCTATTATGCAATATACATGTATGCATATCTAGGTGATGCTACTATCCTAAATCACTACCTGCACTGAAGTGCTGTAAAATTACTCAAAACTTTGGAATGCATTCTTTAATAAATACAATTCGTATTTATCGAAGTTTTCTTTGCCAATCTCCCATCCTGAAGCTGCACATAAGAGAACAGTCTATTTTTCTGAGAGAAGTTGTTATTAAGAAGTGATGTGTATCTCTCATTTCCTCTCCCCAGAGAGGGGCAGCAACTTTTGACAGTCCTAACAACTAACCCAAGAAGCACTAACCAAATAACATTTATGTACACAAGTACCTAGTGGTCCATCCAGAATCCTCTGAAGTCCATAGTTGAACAAGAGATACTGGAGAACAAAACTTATAATACGAGTTGTGAAACAATTTATACCTTTTAACTTTTGAAAGGATAATTTCATTATGCTTTGTTAGTTGTATAATAGCTGAATAACATCTAAACAAATACCTGTGTTTTAGGTTAATGTAATGCTGCAGATAACAGTATATTTTTTTTAATCGTTGTTCTTCCAAAGTTTATAGTTATGATGTTTCAAAAAGAGCTTGAATAGCAAAGTATAGTAACTGTTACTTTGGGCAGGTCTTCCTTTTGTTACTATAGCACTATCAGCAAAGTAACACCATTAAGAAAGGTGGGAGAAAACCAGAGCTAAAAATCAAGTGCAGTGTTTATTTACACAATCAGACAGCACCAGGAGCATTTAATTGCTAATACATAGTAAATCTGACACCGCTGGAGCTCTGAATTGTAGATTGTAGTGGAGAATAGAAACAAGAAAGAGTTGATAAAGATTACTATGGCACTTGTTCCTACAGTGAATTTGTAAAATCAATCCACTTAGTGGGCCTTTGCCTTGGGTTTATCCAGTGTGACCCAGAAAAACAGTTCCTGATCACACAGGCAAGGCAGCAAGGACTCAATTTGTGCTATTTTATGAAGCGTTTGACGGTATTTCTGGGACTAAGGGGAAAGGAGGCTCATCCTGGACCTAAACCGGCTGGAATATAGCTAACTATGCACATTTGCCCCCTTAATCATAGCTTTTGCCTGCGAAGTAATTTTACCACGATAATAATCTGAATTATAACCTTGCCTTTTGGACAGCAGCTAAAGTAACTCAGGTCTTTCAAGACTTATCCTACGGACACGCGTTTGACACACACATCCAACTGCTCAAATGCACAAGCACCTAAAATCTAGTGCCTACATTTTATTAATATTTCCTACACAAGGTTCCCATCCTAGCGAACCTGAAGGCTGGCACAAGCTCTCACCCCAATTATCTCTTAGTCATGGGGAGGGCAGGGGTAGAACACCGTGACAGAGCTTCAGTTCCACAACGCACCCCCTCCAAGCGGCCGCCCGCCCCCCACCGCAGTTCTCCGGGTAAACACGGCTGCCGGGGACGCGGCAGAGAGCCGCCAGTCAGCGGCCCGTCCGTTTGGAAGGCCGGGAGCAGCGCGGTAAGGCACCCCGGCCTCCTCCCGCCGCTCAGGAAGCGCGCCGCAGCCGGGCAGGAGCGCCACCGCCTCTCCAAGGCCCCGCTCTCCCCCGCTGCCCCCCGCGCGGAGCACGCCCCGGCCCGCACGGCCCCTCCGTGGCCCCGAGAGCCGCGTCGCCTCCCTGCCCCGAGCGCTTCTCGCCCTTCTCACCGCGGCGATCTCTTCGGCCGAGCACTCCAGCAAGCTCTTGTCAATAGCCTGCACCTCCGTCTCGAGCTCCGTCGCCATCTTCTCCCCGCCCCGCCCCGCGCCGCCGCCACGGAAGCGACGCCCGGAACCGGACCCGGCTGCCGTTCCGCCAGGGAACCTGCTTCCGCCCCGAGCGTCGCCGCGCCGTGCGCCGCCACGCCGCGCCGCGGGGACTTCTGGGAGCTGTAGTTTTTTCCCGCCGCGTGCCGCCTGCCTGCTCGTCTCCTAGGAGATGGCGCTCAAGGCCCGGGCTCTGTTGGGCGGGGGGGGCGGAGCTGTCCCAGAAGATAAATACCAGTCTCTTAAGTGCCGTGAACGCGATGGACGCGGCCTTAAAGGCAGCGTGACTGGGTTCAAACCCGCAGAAGCCATACATCCTGTTCTTCAGCCCACACTCTGGGCCATCTCTGAGGCTGCTGCATACCACCCAAGCAGCAGTGCTGCTTCACGTTTATAAGCTTTGCATTAGAGCTTCGCATTTGCGACTTAGCAGAAAGTCACAAAAACAACAAACAAACATCCTGCACAAGACCATTTCGTTTTAGTTCATCAGCCTCTCTGCTTCTTACAAACCTGTTGTACCACTCTTGTACCCGCAGGCCTGTCTGTGTGCTGGCTGTAACTACAGCCGGACCAGCACAGCCCGCAGACGTGCCTGGCACTGCGCACATAAGGCAGGAGCAAAGCTTCTGTTTGCACATCACAACTTTCTGTGTGGAACCTTAGCATCGTTTGCAAGCTGGGCATTACTTCCATCCAGCATTTGCCATAAACCTAGGCAGAGAGAGAGCCTGCTGTACTGGAACCTACACCAACAAATAGAATCATTGGAGTTGGATGGGACATTGAAAGGTCATCCAGTCCAACTCCCTTGCAATGAACAGGGGCACCTGCAGCAGACCAAGGTTGCTCAGAGTCCCCCCAGCCTGACCTTGAGTGTCTCCAGGGACGGGACATCGTCTCCTCTCTGGGCAACCTGTTCATATATCTCATCACCCTTATCTCTGCTTCCCACAGTTTACGCTCCTGAATGTTCACCATGCACTGGAGGTGAATAAACACATGGGAGAGGGAAAGACAGAGTTATAACTGCCTGAAGTACTAGCTGGAGATGGCCATATGTGTCGGCATTGCCAATGGGACTAATTTACAACAAAACTATGCAGTAAAATTGAGTTCTGGTTAGCAACTGATACTCCTTAACAATTTTTAAACATTCCCATAATGCATGTGAAGAGTTGATTTTTCACTTTTACATCTCACTTCATTCTTATTCCTTCCCCTCACACTCCTCTCAGCTAATAATTTAAATATTGAGTTACCCAACAGAGGCACATTATCTTCTTATCTGTCCAAACAGTGACAAATGCATCCACAGCTATATATTAATAAAAGAAAGAAGGTGGGCTGCATGCCATTGCCTTGTTCCTCCTGAATAGATTTAATGCTATTTGCACCAAGGGGTAGCAGTGCAAGCTCGCACATTATTCAGACCATGTAAGAGCTTATTTCTGAAATCTCAGAGGTTTATGAACCATCGCATTTACTTATGAACTCTGTTTGGGAATTCTGGTGACTTTTAAGATGCAGGGAACATATGTAGTTGAAAAAACTGATGGCAAGAACTGAGAACTGGCTTTTAGCCAGTGCCATGAGAAAATTATAGAAGGATTTAGAATATTAATTTAACTTCCTAACATTCTAGGAATAAGCTTAATTTCCTTTTGTCTAATTGTACCTTTACTATGTGCAAAGTACATCTTTCTATTGTGTTTCTTTTTAAATTGTTTGACATTTCTTGAACGATTGTTCTTAGAATGCAGAAAATAATTATCTATTCCTCAGAAGATCAGCAAAGCCCACACTCCTTCTTATTCATGTACTGTTGATGCCTAAGAAATACAGAAGATGACACATCTTTGCAAGGAGGCAGAAGGTGAAAGTAAGCTGTGATTTAATGGTTTCTCCTGCAAGTTGTGTAGAAAATGCCAGGAAAATCCTGAGGTTTAGTAATGTGAAAGGCATCTTATTTTGCCTAGAAATGTGTGAGGCCCAAACAGAAAGCACACTGTAAAGACATTATTTCAGTATGAGTGTAACAGCTTCCTCTAGATAGAACATTTCATAACTTTTTGTCTTTGTCATTAACTTCCTAATAGAAGATATTATTCAAATTCAGGAACAATACTTAAAGCTGAGGACACATACCACCTCTATCTTCTGCCAAAAAGCCTAACTCATCTCAGGTCTATTATGAGACAGAAATTGAGGAAAATAAATCTATAGAATGTAATTTTTCAGCCAGGCTAATATTAAATCTTCAAAGCATCTTCCTGGTAGCTCTAACTGGTATGTTTCTGTGCTTCTCCTCCCAACATAACATACTTCATGCAATGCAATAGGTGGTGGTTGTGAAAGATGCAGGAATAATCTCTCTTTTTCACCTTCTGACCTGCCTGTTTAAGCATCTGTTTGTTTTTACCACAAAAATAAATGAATAAGTAAACAAATAAATAAATGAAAATAAATACAACAAACCAAGCCAAGCCAAACAAATCAACCAAAGGAAAATAATTCACAAAACAGAATTTGAACGTCAGTTTGATGGGAGTCAATTCCTTTGATTAAGCTCCATTGTTTTTAATAAATGCTGTATCTATTAAAAACAGTGTAAATAGGTGTAATTGGGTAAGTATTAATTATGGCAGTGGATACTAGTGGTTCCTATCTACGTATGAAACAGGATCTTCCACAGAAGACCATCTCTTGCCACAAACACAAAAGAAATTACCAGCAGCAGCCAAGCTGATGTCTAGCTATTTTGAAGAGCCTTCGGTGAAGCATGTTCCAGAGAGGTGCTCTGGTTACAGAAATGGGCTTCTTGGCTGAATACTGGTGATACATGATCATCTTTAGGATCTGTTGCAAGGCTCTCTGCAACATTTGAGCATAGGAATGGATGAAATCATAAGATAAAGGGATGCTAGAGGAATTAAAACTATCTGGCTTGCTGGCACATTCAGTTAAAAGCAGTTGGTTTAACATAGCTGTATTAATTTGAATGTAAATAGAAAACTATTTCACATCTAGACTGCAGGGACAGATGTCTTCTTACAGACTTAGACAAAATGCTATTTGTTTCTCCCCACATCAAAGGGGTCTTCTGGCAATTTTGGAAAGGATTCCAAAATGTGTTCTGTTCTCTGTGAAAAGTCCATCTCCTGGTACAATTCTTTTTCAAAAAACAAGACAATTTAGAAGCATTTATGTCTGTCTGCACAAAGTTTACTTATTAAGACAGATGATCAGCATTTTGCTGCATTGGGTTGATATCACATACCTGTATCTAACACCACAGCCTTGCAAAAACATTTTTCTCCTTAATCTTTCGTAAGTCAGCAATCCCTTTTACCAAATAAAGCATGTATCTAAGATTGAGATATTTGCAATAAAAAGTAATTTTGATAGGATAGTGTACTTCCTAGACAACCAAAGTAGTAATTTTTACACTAAAAATGTGGTTTTTAAAGCCATTATCATTATCATTCCATCCCTTCCTCTTCAGTGCTGGATGAGGTAGATTTGTAGTCACTGTCTCCTACATTGTCTTCAGATACATTCAGATAGTAATTCTTTTATTTCTGTGCTGCCGATTTTAATGACAAATTATGCTGACCAGAATAGAATTTTGCCTGTGATAACGTTAATTAAAAGATGAATTCTGAATGAGGTGAACAATGACACCCAGTACTTGGTGGATTGATAAGACATAGTTCACTAAGCAAGACATTATTCAGAACAAAAGAGCACACGGTAATCTGCAAACACAGGTTATTTTAAGAATTTGGTTCAGAATTAGAGTATTAAAAATACTATCTGACAAACTGCAGGCAATGCTTTGTTCTTTTGCAGTAATAATGCTATAATATCAGCCCTTTTAGTCACAAAGCAGAATAAGCTTATTTATTTTCCCTTCTTTGTCTTTGCATGATCTTAGAATTACAGATATATAGTTTACACATGAAAAAAAATGTAAAAAATATCAAAACTAGAATATATAGCATAGTAGAGGAGAAAAGAAGACACAGGAAATACAAAGATATTGTGGCCATCTTCCTCCTGTGAATGCTCTGTGCAAGTCTAGCAAAGGCAGTTACATAACTGATTTTTATTGCATTAGGCAACAGCAATATTGCTAGGCAAAATGATGTGCAGAATGAGAAAGCTTCTTCCACAGTGAAAATAAAGAAAAAAGACAGCGAAAGGGTTCTCACTTAACATCCAGTAAGAGGGTAGTGCAGGAGGGTGTGCGTCTTCATTAATGTATCATGTCAGAATGACAACATGATTTATTCTCATCACACACTGTCTTAGAAAAAATACACTGCAAATTCAATCCATGATAATTTTGCTGCTTTCTGTAGTATAATGTGTCAATTGTATAGAACTCAAGCTGGTGAGTTAAAATGCCAGCCTCTGAAGGAGAGAAGTTTCAGGGGAGTGAAGACCAACGATAATTAATGAGTTATACATGGAGGAAAAATTAACACGAGAATTAAGGAAGCAGTACACACACACACCCCAAAAAGTGTCTCATCTCACTTGTTTTCACTGTAAATTCAGAATGCTGCTAGTGCATATTTAGACACATCAGTAACACAGTCTTGTGCTAAGAGCCTGTGTTTGTGGCTCACTGGTGGTCAACTTTGACACGTTGGAAGATGTAAGTACCACTTGAAATCTTTGCTGTAGATAACGCCCTTTCCCAAGCTTATTCTCTGATGCCTGTGAACATGCAGTCTGATGCTGTGACCTCTGCCATAGACAGCCCTTCTTTCAAAGGGCTGACTATTTTTCTGTCTTGAACAGATTCAATTATTCTTGAGATTTCTACCACCAGTGTTTCAGCGAGTGACTAAGTTGCAGGAAGGAGGCTGTAGTCACCTGTATGGCGCATAATTGTATGCTGTGCTGCCTTGGGAACCGACTTAAAACCTCTATATTAAAGAGGGTAGTCATGATTTTAGTACCCACTGCCAGGCAAGGAAGCGCGTTGTGAAGTTGAGACTTAAATCTGTAGCAATAGGTACAGGATACAGTGA